CACAGGCCAACTACAGGCTGTTTAACACACTGTCAGTGCACTTCACCACTCTACCAGGTGAGAAGAAGAAGGTACCTAAACACATCACCAGTCCTCTCTCTCATTATTTTTAGTATCACCCTATTATATATTTAAGGGGCATACAGAAGTCATGATGTCATTATGTTTAAACAGCATTACATTTTGGTTTAAATAGCTTAAAGGTGCATTACATACATTTCTGGTTGAGGGATGGACATCAGTTGTCTTGTGGAAATGTTATTGTTTTACCTGAAATGTTCCTTATAAGTATGTCATTAAATTAATCTATCTCAATCAAAGGTGATTTCATTGCTCAAAACCTGGCGACATCACCTGCTTGCCTTCATGAAGCTAGATAAGTTTAATGCTACACTGTGGACATTCTAGGCAAAGTAATAACAAGTCCATTAACATTTCCACCAAGCCTAGGTAAATCTATAGTTTGTATGAGTAACCACTTGCCAAATCATTACAAGCAAGTAAGGCAGTCTCTGTAATTGAATTATAATTATGAGAAGACTTTTGGAGAGTTGCCCCAAATTTGCAAGATCTACCGTAATCAAAACGATTATTTTCTTTTTTAGTCAGTTAGTGATCACTACAGCAACAAATTCCATGGTGATTTGGCAGATTTTTACCCTGGATGGCCTTTCTTGGAATCAACTTCCCCCTTTTCTTACCCTTTACTCTGACTGGACAAAGGATGTAATGTCTTACCCAGCTTCCTCCTGTACTCAAGGAGTATTCTTACCCACTTAGGTCTCTCTTGCTTCATTCATTATAGTTAGAAAATGTCATGCAGAGTTATGCCACTATGCCGGTTGGTGGCAACATGAATAAAATATCACTAGGATGCACATGTGAATTTAGAAAATACTTGTAATTTGCCCATAACTATATAGTGGTTGAAGAAGTATTCAACACAAGGGCAAAAATATTCATATAAGGTAATATCACATAAATAATTACAGTAAGTAAACAGTAAACTTCACAGTAAAAAGTATTTCACACAGATTTTGAGAACTATTGTTGTGAATGTGATCTTGAAAAATAATAAACTGATGTTTGCTTTCAGAAGTCAATTTTTGCTTCTCTTTTTTCTGTTTGCTTAAAGCCAGTACTTTAACTTAAAACCTTCAGTTAGGGTGTCTTACCATAAACATGCTTATAATAAACCAGCCATTTCAGCAGGTCTGAAACTATAAGAAAAAAATACTCATACTTTTCAGTCCAGTTAAAAATGTAGTGGTGTAGTAAATACAGATACCTACTCTCAAATGTAGTAAAATTAAGTAAAAGTAAAAAGTATCCACTGAAAAAATACTTACAGATATGTAAAATTATACTTAAAAACTGAACTACAAATGTTATGTTCCTACTTCAGTATTTTGTCACCTGCAGATGTCTTGAGTCCCACTGTGGTCTATGTGTCAGACCCGAGTCCCCAGGAGGTCCAAGTTAGTTGGGGTCCTCTTCAGCCATCAGTCATCCTGGGGACCATCCCCTTTGGATAGGTCCACATTGTGATGTTTGGAAATCATCAAAGCAGCGCTGTGGTGAAGGACCTGGAGCCGCATTCGGTGTATCTCATCAGAGTAACAGCTCAGTATGCAAATGGAAAGTAAAGGGCCATGTCTATCAAGGCCTGTACACAAGCAGGTGAGTTTCTTAGCAATGTGCAATAGTTTTAAGTTATTATTAAGGTTCTCAAAAAATCTTTTCATGGGTTTTGAGCTATGGTCCTTTATCATTATGGTACTGAAATCAGTACTGAGTATCAAGCCTTTTCCTTTGCATTAAAATCCAGCAAAATGTTAGTACTGTGACAACACTAATCAGTATATTACATTTAAAACTGCATCACTGAACCATGTAATTCAAATATAAAAACAACACTATTAATTGCACCCCTCCTCTTGGTTGTTTGAGTTTGCATTGGGCTGCCAATGAGTCAGCAGCAAAGGTTATACAGACTGCAAAGCTGTTTACAAGCCACCCAGAGAAACTGCACTTTGTTGATTTGTTGGTGCACATGAGCATAGAACATTTTACATAATTATATAAAATGTTAGCAGCAAGACATTTCTCTAATTCTCCATTTAAATTCATGGATTCAAATGGAAGTATGGGTCATTATTAGCAGTTAGACATATAAGTGGGCAGGGTGCTAGAAGATTACACACAAACATGACTGTCATAGATGTAATGTCTTGCCTTTCTAAAATTAGCAACACCTTTTGTGTAGGTGCCATAGTGTGTATTGTGGATGAATGCTGTTGTAAAACTTCCACTTTTGTAGAGGCAGTACATAAGCTTGATTTACCAAATGCTAATCTCTCCCCTTGCCCTCTCACAGAACCCATCCCAGCATTGGTCGACCTGCAGCTGCGTCCCGTGGACCAAGAGGAGGTGCAGGTAATATGGAGAGCTCATAAGGAAGGTTTGACAGGGTACTGGCTCAGCTGGGACAGTCCACAGTCCCAGAGCCTGTCTTGGTATTTGCCCCCCTCCTCTCACACCACTATTATCAGTGGCATCGCTCAAAATGGTCGGGTCTGTGTTTCTCTGGTCTGCAGCTCCGGGAGTGGGGAGGGCATATGCTGTACTGCACACTAAAAATATGACTATTATTAATAATAGTAGCAATGCAATGTATAGTAATAATTTATTACTAGACAGTTGCAAAAAGAAACAACATTTATTCAAAGCCTCTTTTTTCAGATTTTAATGAGTTAAACACTTTAATGCTATCAGTGTATCATATTATTCAAATAATTGATGAGATTTCGTATTCTCCAAACCAAGAAGAACAAATCTGGCTCCTGCTCTAGAGATGGTAGCCTGCAATGTACAGTAGAGTTGCACAAATATCTAAATATATATTTTCCCAGGAGAAAAACTTAAATAATACATGACATGGTTTTCTATGGGGGATATAGCAACATACCAGGCACCTTACCTTCCTACTGTCAAAATCATGCCAGGTTCCTGTAAGAGTCGTACTAATTTTGAGTGAGAGTCAATGGTTGTCCATCAGTTTTTCACCTTTGGGCAAAATGCATCCTGCCTCAGGCTTTTGACTGACAGAGTGTTGAAATGAATACAGACTGTGCTAGCTGGTTGTATGCAGCTATCTAGTATGCTTTATATGCTTTTATATTTATGCTTTTTATCCATTATGATTACATGCTGTCTACTCTTACTAGCTTCATTCTAACTCTCAAGCTCTCCAAAGTTGCATCACAACACACACTGTTTATTTCACAGTGACTTTGAACATTCTTTTGTACAACATTCTGTTCAGCTGTAGCCCAACTATAGCATAAAGTAAATCCTTTGTCTTCTGTATGCAACATATAACCAATATAACATTACCCATTTATTTATAATCACTGTGTCTGTGGTTGAACGCTCCACCAAAGCCATTAGTGCCATATTTCTGATATAAAGCTCTTATGTTGTTTTCTTGTGTCCACTCGGCCTATTGCTGCTCTAAGTGGTCTGGTTTTACTTAGAGCTTGGCGCTCTTGATGTAACAGCATGAAGTCCCATTGTGTTTTCAGTTCTGCTCCTTGAGGCTGGGTATAAAGTATGTATTTAGATGGTGTTTATAATGAACAAATGCTGAAGACTTTATGCTGAATGTATCACCTAGAGATATTGTGAAATGTGTTTGTATATTTTATTGTTTATTAACTTTACGATTTTGGTACATAAGTGGAAGTTGGTTATGTTAATTTCCATGCAAATGACAATTTTTATGACTGACAATGTTTAGATTTCAAGATACCTTGTTGTGTTTTTTTTTTTTTTTTACTTTGTATTGCCATCTAGCGGCTGAAGTGTGAATTTCACTCTGAGATATGGGGCCATAATAACTTATACAGCACAGATGAAAAAAAAGATACAAAAAAATCTTTAAAAAACACAAAACACAACTTGTCCTTTAAGTCGTGAGTGTGTGTGTGTGTGTGTGTGTGTGTGTGTGTGTGTGTGTGTGTGTGTGTGTGTGTGTGTGTGTGTGTGTGTGTGTGTGTGTGTGTGTGTGTGTGTGTGTGTGTGGGTGTGCGTGCGTGTGTGTGTGTGTTTTGGCTATTTAGCATTAAACTATAACACAGACCAATATTTTGCAGTTTGTTCACTGTATGCAACAATATTGATCTAAAACAGTTTCATAATAGAACCAGGTCTATTAACTTACTGTTAACAAAACTGCAGAATGAATAAGGTGACTTTTCATGATAGTACTCAGCTGATTTTAATTTATAAATTTTAATAGCTGAAATTTTGTTTTGTTAAATGTTTGAACAAGAGAGAACATGGTGATCACATAGTTAAAGCTCATGAAGGTCAATTTTACATAGTATGTCCTTTTAATAATTATTTCAGTTAATGTTCAAGTCTAGGTCAATGATGGGATTGTTTTGGTTTGATGGATCTGTTTTTTTCTCCCTAACATTATATGTGTTGGTGTAATAGGTCCTTGTTTTAGGCAAACAAATTCCTTAGTGAAAAATAAACAGATTCACCACTGAGGACATTTGGTCTCTATGCACAAGTACCTACATGCTCTTACGCCTAATAAGTGAGCCACCCTCTCCCTTAGGATAACACTGAACTAAATTAAGGTGAAAAGGAAGCTCATTTCAATGAGAGAATCTGATTAATCTCTAGTGTTTTATTATCACGCACTCTGCTCCTTTGGGCATTGGGGACAGTGACATAGTTTGTGGGAGTAACCTGAGTTGTCTTAGAACAGCCTTCCCTAAAGACCCTCCAACACGTAACGTCAAGCATCTTCTTGTCTTTTGTACCTGGAAAATGGGCTCTGCGGTGTGGAGGGCATTAAATTGACAAAAGGAGGACTCTGCCTGGTTTAAAAGCTTTAAAATTGCTTATGAATTTTGTACTTTATAGAGACGTTTGCAGCAAGAATGGATGAAATGGAAGACAAAATGGGAGAGGCGGTGGACGAGGGGTTGGTGGGAATGGGACTGCGTGTGTCTGTGTCCCCAGCACAGACGGCCTTCTACATCATACTGGTGATGATGGGAATTCTGGGAAACGCCACAGTGGTGGGAGTGATTGGGAAAAGTGTTATAATGGATCGAGGCGGAGGTCGTAATTCGGATATTATCATTATTAACATGTCTCTGTCCAACCTGCTGGTGTCAGTCATGAGGAACACACTACTGATCATCTCAGACATCGGGCTTGAGGTAAGTACCACTGTAAATAAAAACACAGAAAATCAGATTTGTCCTATAAAGCCTCATCAACATTGATAAAAACTGCAATTCATCTTGTCCCATATTATAGTGTGTTTCAACAGGGCCTCAAGCATTTTTTTTCTAGAATAATGTATCACCAATGTTTAACAGGTAATTTTGTTATAGACTAGTTTAATTGTACACTTAAGCGAAAACTTAAAAAATTTGGTCCAACCTAAAAATAAAATCAGTCAATGACCAAAGTAACTAATTGGATCAGATATTACTACACAAAAGGAATATCTGTCATTATTTTTGGGAGGGAGGGGCAAGAAGCCTCACATGGACCCACACCCCTCAGTATCATAAAGGGGGTCAACAGACCCCATTGTCTCCCCCGTCTACCCCCCTGTCTGTCAGATTTAGACTGTATAGCCTATGTCAAACTGTTCATTACTACTGCTACTACTAAAGTTGATGGGCACTATTGTATATTTCTAATTGCACTCTCTGTTTTACAGCTTTTCTCATCTAAAGAGTGGTGCCAGTTTCTGATGGGTGTGTGGGTGTGGCTGCGCTCGGTGAACGTGTGGTCAACCCTGTTCCTCAGTGCATTTCACCTCCAGACTCTGAGGCGAGTCGCTCCTGCCATGGGTAACATGAGCGGGCTCCATGGACCCCCAAAGATGCTGCTCATCACCCTGGGATTCATCTGGATCCTTAACTACATCTACTGCATCCCAGCGCACATTTTCTCCACCAATGGGGATGTCAACAGCACCGAGGTTAGGATCATATCATTGAATCCTTTTAGTTGTATTAACTTTAAATACGTACTTTGTAACTTTTCTGGTGAGAATCCACTACTTGCTTTCCTCTATGGAGATGCTTTTATGGAGATGGTTTTATTCAGTTACAGGTGTTTTCATTGCTAGAAATCCTGTATTTTTCCAGTGAGCAGAGTAACCTCTCCACAGATCTGCCCTATAACTAGGTTTGGTGGTGATACATGCTTATTAATTATTAATTAATCATTGCATTTATATAGAGCTTTTCAAGACATCCATAGTTCTTTACAGTTCATTGTTCTGACTGAGGAACAGAGGCTGCCATTTGGCACCACTGGCTCCTCTGACCACGACCAACAGTCACGCACACTCCACTTTCTTACTAGGCAATGTAGGAGGACACGATGACAGCTTTTGCCACTGCCACCCAACTGTGGCACCTAGAATTCCCAGTGGTTTCCCATCCAAGTACTACCCCAGGCCCAGCTTTGCTTAGCTTCTGAGATCTGACCAGGCTTTGCCAAGCTGTTGTGCTTGTCTGGCTCCATGGAGACGGATATCTTTAATGTTACATATTGTGAAACATTCTAGGCTAAGCAATAACACCTCCATGGAGACAGGTAAATAGTAAACAAGTAAATATATGTATAAGATCTGCAGAATACAGCCATAAAGAATTATGTAGCATGAATCTAATCGTACAAAGAAAAATGGCCTGACTTAATACGTTTTGAGTAGCTCTTAGCTGTCTGGAAAAGGTAAGACATTTCTGTAGTAGTTCTACCAGATGCATTAATGCTGTTGTTGCACAAAACTGAATGCTGACTTTGCCTTAAAACTTTTTTTAAACTCGAAATTAGCTTTCTGGCTGTTGTTAGTTTAATTTGACACTATTTACAGCAACAACTAAGTTTGCATATATAGTTTTTTCTTAATTTAGGTATATTGTAGGTTTGATGTTCTTCTTGTCTTGACATTTTTCATTCCAGACTCTGATGTTGGTGAGCAGCACAACACGCCCCCTGCTAGGCTGTGTGTGGAATTTCCCCACCAGATTTAGTGGTCTTGCATATGCCACCACCTCCATGGTCATCCACGAAACAATACCAATTATTCTGATGGCCCTCACCAACCTGGCCTCCCTCTACACCCTGTACACCCACGGCAGGATGCGCAGCTCGGTGCATGATGCTCCCATGATAAAGCGGGTCCCAGCTGAGAGAAGGGCGGCCAAGGTATGACAAAAACAACCAGACAATGAATTTAAATGTGTTAGTTGAGGTTTTAGCATCAGTCAAATGACTGTAAAATTATCCACAAGTGCAGTAATATGAGATAGTAGTAGAACTGTCCACTGGATGATTTGAAAATTTAAAATAAATTTGAATAATATAGGAACTGTAGTGTATTTTAAACCGCATTGCATCAGATTACCCTCCCTTTAACAGAGCTGTATTTGACAGTTGACTCTTCTGTGTGTCTCAGGTCATCCTCGCTCTCATTATGTTGTTTATTGCTTCCTGGGGAACCAGCATCATCTCCGTGAATTATTTCAACTACAACCGAGGCTCCTCGTCTGAGTTTCTTCTAGTCATTGCCCGATTTGCAAACATTATATTCATTGCCTTTTCACCTGCTGTTCTGGCAATTGGTCACCGGAGGCTGCGCTCATTCATCAAATCACTGCTCAATCACTGAACACTGACATTTTGTACTGACAATGGACAATGAATTATAAATTGTACATTTTATAGATAATTGTACTTATTAAAAAAAACTATTACTATATATATATATATATAAAACTATATACTGCATATTAATTCACCCTCTTTTACTAGTATTAATCCTGGATGATGTTCAAGGTATGGGTAGGACTCTCAATGTAGCCCTCTGCCCAATTTTTGTTGGGTCACAAACTTTCTGGTTAATTTGCCCATACTGTATACATGGTACTTTCTACTCCATATACCATGTACCATCATAACCTCAATAAGTACGAGTGATTTAATTTTTTACATTAAGCCCAAAATTGTGGGATGTCTGAAAGGTTCATTGTAAAACTTACAATGGACAATACCTACTGCATTTACCTCTGAAAGGAACGTTATAATTAGCCAAAATAGATCCCTGTTGAAGCCACAAAAATCACCAAAACCTCCCCCTCGTATATTTGTCATGTGACCCTCAGTTATTAACACTAAAGACCAGGGCAGGCTCTTTGCAGTGTTCCCATTTTTCAACATTAGCTTTCCTGTCATTCTTGATAGAAGGATAAAGTTCAATAATTATTTGACTGCATTTAATACAGTTGCAAAAAGACAGAAAAATACAAAACAATACGATTTTCAAATAATCTATAGGTAGTTTTAGAGAAACAAAAATAAACAAAAAAAAAAATGCTTTCTGTTAACTCATCAGTGTTCAGGCGTTTCTTTCACCTGTATTATGTGTCCCCCTTTAAGAACATCCGAAACCGTTTGTTTACCGTGCTCTTCTTGTTTCTTTGTTTCTTCCCAGCATTTCAGCAGTTCCAATCTCTGCTGTATCATCCCTACTATTTTCCTCCTTAGTTTACCATGTCCTAGAGCCACCACTAGAGGGCTGAAACCTACGAAAAGAGAGGCCGAGAAGTGTGCCACAGTGAGCAACCCCTCGGTATGGTGCCCTCTGTCATGGTTGTAATAGGTCACAGCTGCCACCTGCAAAACCCAGCACACAACAAACAGCGCCACCAGGGACATGATCACGTGACCTGCTTTACGCTCACTTGCTACATGTTTGCTCAGTTCCTCTTGGCTCTCTCCTGCCTCTCTACCTGCTGTAACTGCTCTTATGTGCCTGGCAAGGGCATGCAGGGTTGCCAGGTTGGTGCAAATCATCAAAATCAAAGGCAAGATTTCATTTAGGGCAAGCGACGTAGATGCAAAAGCTGAACCTTGTTGGTTTGTGGGGAACTCCCATATGCAACCCAGAAGAGGTCTGGTGGTGCAGCTAATGACCATGAGCTCAACTGTGACGTTGCCCTGAACATGAGTAGTGTAGAAAAGCGCTGGAAGGGAAAATGCAAGGTTAGCGGCCCACACAACAGCGAGGACTATCCAAACTCTCCGTCTCTCCTGCTGCTGAGCCAGAGGTCCAAAAGCAACATGGCGGCGTTTTAACGTGGTGCAGTGGAAGATACTGAGAGCCAATGTGACCCAACAACCCACAGCTCTCCACCAAACCCACAAGAGCATAAAGACCCTGCACCAGCCGTCATTCAGCGAGAGCTCCAGGCCAAGGTCGGACACAAAAATAGGAACAGTCCTAAAGAGAGAGGTCAGCAGGTTGGCCACTGATAGATGGACCAGAATGGTATCAGAGGATGAGAGTCGGTGGGTTGGACTATTGATTGCAGTTTGAAACACCTGTACAGAAAAAAATACAACATTTTTATGAAACTTTAAAGGCCCTATATTATCCAAAATTGACTCTTGTGAGTTTTGAGCCATGGTAAAACATTACCTTCTTTGAAACATACTTGGAGTTATGTTTTGTTTGATTCACACATGTTTGAATAACCTTTTATTATTAGTTTTCTACATCTTCAAAGCTCAAAATGCTCTGTTCTACTTAATGATGTCATGAAGAAGTAGTTTTCAAGTTAACAGCTCCTTTTACCTTTAAATCATTTGAAATCAGCAATTCCAGGGCTGAAATGATCCAAGTGATTCTAGTGAAGATGTATGGGGTGTAAAATACAATGGAGCACTTCATTATCACATGACAGCAGGTGTTTTCAATTTGAGAGAAGAACTCAGCCTAAATATACAGAGTTTGTGCTTTAAATATGTGTGAATAAAAACAAAACACAACTTCAGGTATGTTTGTGATGAGGAAGCAACATTATAACAGAGAACAGAAAACAGTGTAATATAGGATCATTAAGTAGTGAAAAAGACAAGTAAATAAACACTACACACAAAAAGTAAACATAAAGTAGGTACACTATGAAAATCTTGTGGTGTAGGGTCCACAACCTGCTTGTCTCTATGGAGATGTTATTGCTTACCTTGGAATGTTCCACAGTATGACACTAAAAACACCTGTAATTGAATGAAAGTGAGCTTGATTGATTTGGATGTTACAATGGCAAACATTTTAGAAAAGGCAATAACAACTCAGTAGATACAAGCAGGTGTCAGATGACCTCCAGGAAATTACATAGTGGACCTTTAAAAACAAAATTGCTAGTTTGCTGGTCTATCTGCAATAACACAGTATTGTATTGTATGTCAAAACAATGCATATCTATTAGTAATATCTCACCACATAAATCACCAAAATATTTCCCAAAATGCCAAAAAGGACTAAAAATCCAAACAGAATAGCTTCAGCAGTGAGGACCTCTGACATGGCATCACCATGGACATGGCGACATGGACAATGCAGCCTTTTTCAGTTTCCAAACTTGTCTATGGACAGCATAATTTCACTCCCCTACCTCAGTCTTGTATATATATAGGCCGCCAATGCACCCATGAATGAAATCTATATAAATCAATCACTCAGCATGACCAACAAAGCATATATTTTTCCGCTTGTTCTTTGAGCGTTAACTTCTGCTGCCTCATGTTGTGACAATGGTAAGTGCTCACAGCAAATAAATGTGATGTTTATTAGTCGGTGATGGTCCACTGATCTGATATGTCCCCAGACTGCAGATGACACAGTTTTAGCAAATATGTCCCATGTGACCAGGGCAAAGGAGCTTGGACACGGAGTGTTGGTGACGAAGCTCTTTTACCTTTTGTGCTAATTGATTGTTGACTGAGATGGCTATCCCAGGGGCAAGGACAGAAATCCCCAGAGATCTTGTCACTAGACATTCATTTCAACAATCAAACAGCAGACTTTTGTAAATTTGTTTTGTTTGTTATGGACTGATGTAATGGTGAAATGTAGAAATGGTAATCTATATTTTATAAGATGAAACTCATTTTGTAAATGCATAATGCTTTGCTTTGTTAATATGTGTACGATATTGTGTGTTTAGGTCAGAGAGTGGACAGTGTGAATTTTTCTTATTGTTGACTGAATGTACTTGCATTGTATAATTGATGTCTGTAAATCACAGCAGAAGGAAAACTAATTATTTAGCTATAATCTGGTCCAGAGCATGTCTGTTTTTATGAGCTTTGTGAGTCTCTGTACATTGTCCCTTCAAATAAAGTCTAAAGTATAAATAATAAAGTAACCCATTGTTAGAAGGAATATTAAAGGTTAACAACAATATCTACAAGCCATGCAAGATCAATTCTGCCCCGCTTTTTGTGTTTTTAGTATTTTCGATATCTGGATTTTTATATTCTTAGAATTTCTATGTTCTGAATAAGATGCATGGCACGCATGTGACACATTCAAAACTCACCCAAAGAGTCTGACCATTGAAATAGTTGACTTTCAACGCACAGCGAGGTGAGGGCAAAAGTTACCCAGCTACACTTGTCAAGCGACACAGTGTGTGTAGGTGTGTTTCATTTTAGAGGACATGCGCACGAGAAATATCACTGATTACACATAATTAGCCTACGAATGTTTCTATAAATCTTGTTCCCGTCATGTATCCTATATGCTACTTTAAATTCTCATGTGTAAGTCACCCTTTAGAGCTCTCACCATTTATTTTCCAAACACTGACTAGTGCACTCCTGACACCTCTTCATGCCGAGGCTCTGTGTGGGAAGATGACTCAGGGCGAAGCGACATTACAAGACTACAAATATTTAGTGCACGCGAGCACCCACGCTCCCCGTCCTTTCAGGGCACGCGCTCCATCGCCACACTTTCGCACAGCGGGCATCAAAGCCTTTACGTTTACGTCAAGCCAGACAGGAAGAAGAAAGGCAAGTCTAAAGCGACAGCCGGGTCCCCTCTTCTAATCTCTTCATATAAAGGTAAATCTGATCCTAAGATCATGTGCAACTGATTCGTTTGTGTTATGTTTCGTGCAAGGTCATACCGAGTAGATACCCGCATTAAAATGTGCTCTCTGTCGCAGATGCGCGCCCAGAACACAGTGTGTGGAGGCGCTCGCTGTGTTTCACCGACGTCGTTGTGAGCATTTGAAGCGGAGCAGATCAAATGGCAGACATCAGATCTTGTCATCTACATCTTATACACTGTGTGTGAGAATATTCAAGGTGAAATGAAGCGGGAACATGGACAGTCCCTGCTCGCCTTGTGGGCATTGTTTCTACACTGCACATCACAGCAGACAGCATCTTCATCCTCCTCCTTACAGGTGAGCACCAGGGTTCATGTGGAGACGCCTCTGAGAAGGAGTCCGCAGACTGAACACAGTATTAGGAATGACAGTCAGATCATGAGAAAGCCAGCTGCAGAACCAGAGGAGCCATTAGATCACATGACTTTTAACACCAGCAGAGCTATTATGGTGCCTGGGAGGTCACGGGGGTCTCCAAGCAGAAGAACAGAGGATGGGGTCTCGCCTCTGTGCGCCTATCGTGTGATTGAAGGGGGCATTGGAGGGCAACTCTGCTTTCGACGCACACTGCTAGAGTATAAGTGCCAGGAAGGACAATGCAGGACAGTGGTGTCCTCTAAAAATTTTGTGGCAAATATTCTCATTAATGGCAGTGTACTGTTACAGTGGACACAGGGAGAACAGTCCACAGTGAACATAGGCAACAGTCAGAACATGAGCAAAGATCATGGGACTAATGTGACAACTTCTCACAGTGCTGTGAGTGGGAGGCGTTACAGAAGAGGGGGCTTTGAGCTGAGCTGTTGGTGGAATGGGAGTTACACTCAGTTTGAATGCAGTGGGGTGCAACTGGCACATGGCTGCCGAGACTACCTGCTGACGGAGCTACATGAAAACATCCCCTATCGCTTCTGCCTGCGCTCCCTGGACAGGCCCAGGATCCAGGAGCAGGACTGTGTGGAGTTCACCCTGCCTCCGTCCGGGATGCAAGACATAGTAATAGCTATGACAACTGTGGGAGGAGCTATTTGTGTAATGCTGGTTATTATTTGTTTACTGGTTGCATATATAACTGAAAATATTATGAGCCCAACCACAACACACACTTACTCATATCGCACCCATTCGTGCCATTGAGTGCCATGAGTGGTGATCTATCCTAAACCTCCTCCTAAATATGCTTCATGCCTCTATACTAACGTCATCACCATGTGAATTAACTGAAGCACAATATGGGGGCTTTTTTTTTCTTACTAATTGCCTTGCTAACCTCTGCACTGACTGAACCAAAACTTAACATCCTTCATATTGTATAAGAGCTGTTCTATGGCATGTTAATGTGGACAGAATCTCTGTGATTTTAAATCTGTCAGTGTTATTGCTGGCAGAAGTTTACAGCAATACAACTATATGGCTTTGAATCAAGCCTATATATTTTCTGCCTTGGTTTTGCTACTGGTTCAGTCCTGCTTATGCCCATGGCCAGTTTCTCAGAGTTGTTAATATTAAGATACACACACAAAAAAATATTAATCGGCCTATTAAAATTATATCAAAATAAACTATAGGCCGTAAGGATGATCATACTCAATAATTTCTTTTCGTAGCTGCATAAAATTTGAAAACATTCTAAACAAGTCAAAAGTGCACTTGTGAAACTAACCTTCCTACTTGTATACCTCTGTAAGGGGCAATACCACTTTCTGCAGTGTGGGCTACAATCAGTGCTGTGCCAATAACTGACCTTTTGAATGATTCAATAAACTTAATTGAGCACTTTCCCAGTGCCTTTTTGATTTGGTTATTGAAATAAATGCTCTTAGATCAAATTACCTATTTTATATTTTGATGTTACAATATTTTTTATTCCTAGTCTAGAATATTTTTCAACCAACCACATAGCTCATGCTCATTTTGATTTGAAAAAACTTTAACATTTTGTGAATATTCTTTTCCTATTCCTCTTCTCAATACAAGTAAGTTAGTAAACAAAGGGTTTTTGTTCTTTCTAAGTCTTCTCTGTTATTTTTCTGTGAAGTGTTCTAATTGGACTACAAAGTTTTACGCACATAAACTCCGCCCGTAATGACGTCATCTTGTTATAAAGCGGAGCAGCGGCGCACCGCCATTTTATTTCCTGTTTCGAAATAGACTTGTTTGCGTGGTAGATACATTGTAGTTGTTTGATAGTGTAAATCTGTTAGGGATTATCTCAACACTTTTACACATTGTTAGGGACAATATAGTTCTTTTGCCGTTTGTTGTTTTTTGTTGTTTACAGCCGAAGACGTGATGCCGAGCCACCCTCTTCGAGTTGCGGTGGTGTGCTCTAGCAACCAGAACCGCAGTATGGAGGCTCACAATATCCTCAGGTAAAGACGAAGAGTAGGCCTGGAACAGGGCCGACGTCTGGAGAACCCCCACAGCCTTGTCTTGTGGGGAACAAAGCCGTTTGTGAACCGCCCGGGATGATCCAACGTGAGGCAGCCGGCCAGGCCTCTGCGCACTAAACAATGGACACGTTGCCCTGAGTCACAATGAGGATGTGGCATTTTATTCTTGTCTGTTTAGGCGCCAATCCCCCTTTGGCTGAGAACAGACCTGACCTTTTACAAATCTGGTCTTTTTAAGCTTTTTAAAAATGGCCCTATGGCGTTGGCGATTTCCCCATATCATACTTGTAATCAACAACGCCCCCTACAGGCTTGAATCCGACATGACAAATGGACCTGACTATTTCAGTTATAACATTTAACATATCTGTTTACATCTGACTATAGACTGGGGACACGCAGTTACCTTAGTGTTCAGTAAAGGCCTCAGAGGTTCAGCAAAATGCAGATGAGGAAATGGCAAAAGTGCAATAAAAATCATCTTCAAGAAAGTTTTTGTCATTTGTAACGTTTTGCTACTTTTTTTTTTGTCTTGCAGTAAACGAGGGTTTGATGTCCGTTCATTTGGGACAGGCTCACATGTGAAGTTGCCTGGCCCTGCACCGGATAAGCCAAATGTGTACGACTTCAAAACTACATACGAACAGATGTACAACGACTTGGTTCGCAAGGATAAGGAACTGTATCCCTGTACATGCCCATCATCTTTGCTAACTTCACAGGGGGAATTTCATTGTACTGAAATCTTTGTCATTTGTAATACTTGATCTAGTTTCACACAATGATGATAGTGTAGCCAGTGTTCTAAATGTGCTGATATGTTGGTCTATAAATTCCAGGTAAGAATTTATAGTGTATGTATTGATTGGTTGACAGAGAAAAGTTTAACTGCATTTACTTTCACTTACTATTTCTTGTAAGATAGACTAAGGTTATTATAGGTTAGCCCACATTTTATTTGCACCATCCATGTTCTTATGCTAAATGAGTTTTATCAGAGAATCGATTCTTATTAAAAAAAAAAAAAAGTAAACCATTCAAGAGTACAGATCATATTTGATATATCAAACGGGGGAAACTATAATGTCTTAGGTGGCACCTAAAATCTACCCCCATCAAATTTGAACCTGTGTTTTTGGTATCATCTTCAAAAGCATGTTCTCTGTAATGCGCATGCTCAAAACATTGCACCATCCAGTAAGACTCCTGCCTTCTACTGAGATGTAGCTTCGAAACTACGCCACTAGATGGTGCTGTAGTGTCGTATATAGACAGCGACTGTTGCGTTGCATATTTGTTACAAAAATGTTTTATGTACATGAGACTGACCTTGTGCTAAAATGCACTAACTAAACAGCTCTGAAGTCTGTAGTGTATTTGTATAATGTTCTTGCTATTCTTTGTATTATGTTGGGCATTCCTTGACCCCATTGTTTCAGATATACACAGAATGGTATTCTTCATATGTTAGACCGTAACAAACGCATCAAAGCAAAGCCAGAGCGTTTCCAAAACTGCAAGGACAAGTTTGATCTGATCATCACTTGTGAGGAGAGGGTGTATGACCAAGTACTAGAGGGTGAGGATTTTACGGAAAAATGCAATGTTGACTAATTAAATGCTGAAAAAATGCTTTCAGTAACTGTGTATTATTTATTCTTTGTGCAGATTTTAACTCTAAAGAGGAAGAGTTGTCACAGCCTGTGCATGTCATCAATGTAGATATTCAAGATAACCATGAAGAAGCCACTCTGGGAGCTTTCCTCATTTGTGAACTGTGTCAATGTGTGAGTGGTCTTTGATGTCTGGCTGGTTTAACAATTCTTAATTAATTGTGACACTATTCTGTTTTAAAATGTTTAGGTGTAGTTCTGACATAAACAGATGATAGAACTTGTATTTGCCCCATAATGGAGAAATAGCAAAGTTAATATAAGTTAAAATTAAGAGTAATAACTTTAAAAAATGATAACTAACTCCTCTAAATAGAATATTAGAAATACTTAGAATAGACTTAATGGTATTATTGCCTTGAGTTAATTGCACTGTTATTGCACTGAAAATACTCTGTCCTCTGCAGCTTCAACACACGGATGACATGGAGAATGAAATTGATGAGCTCCTACAAGACTTGGAGGATAAAAGTAAAAGGACTTTCCTACACACTGTGTGCTTCTACTGAATGAATAGAAAATGCAATAATCACACGTTCCAATAACAAGCATTCAGATCACAAACTATGGACAGTGTCCCATCATAGGTAACATAATTTACAGTGTGCCTGTTGAAGCTCAGAGCCACAAAAGCTGGACTGAACATGGCTGCTGTGATGAAAGTGAATCCCTTAGGTGAAAATGTTACCTCCCAGAAGAGTAGGAACTGCCTGCTTGAGCTCTGGCTTTTTCTGCAGGGCCTCTATCCCTGTACAGTCAAATCACTCAACCATGCAACTCATAAGCATTCAGCACAGGTGACTCTTTGAAATGAATTTTTGTATGGCATATTACCATAGATGAGATTTTTTTTTTGTCCTGTAAATTTCCGTAATTCTAATTCACAAGCATTTAGTTTTCACCTTGGGTATCCAGGATTGTATTTATTTCAAGGGGTCAAACTGAGAGAAGTAACTGAGTGGATTATTCTATGCGACTGTAATGATGAGAATTAAGTTAAATATTTGTTGCCTAATAATAAGTAACCAAATGTACAGAAGCTCTTCAATGTATTTTCTGTATAATGTGTACATTTATAATCAAGGTGCACTTGCTGTATATCAGGGCATCTTTTTTTTTTTTTTTTTTTTTTGTAAATTGAAGTTTTTTGTTAGAAGAGCTCAAATGAGTGCCTGATTTTCTGTATGAATTTGATTCTGCAAAAAATTGTTGATGAAAGTAGTTTGTCTCTCAGTTTGTTAAACTTGCTCTTCACAGCGTATACGAGCAAACCATCAAATCATTTTAGATTTGACTGGTTCCAGTAATGTCTAGTTGGGGTGTGTTGAAAGATAAAAGAATAAATAGGATATCACCCCCTCAAATCAGAAAAAAACATGTCAACATCTTGTTTTACTTTGACAAATGAATAAATTACGTAAACAGTCAGTGTGAATTGGCCATTTTTTACATTGTATTTCTGTAGCAACAGCTAGATTTCTACATAAAGGTAAAACGATCCCAGAACTATAGGTCGTCTCATCTGAAAAGACTTAAATTTAAGTTTTTGAAGATGCTAATGCTAAGCTGTTACAGATCATTGTACAGTCTCATTATCAAAGGGCATCACATCATCATCTATCAGCCTTGATATGTTTGTGGTGAAGACTGTTGATGTAGCCTACTCCAAAAACATGCAAGTTATTTTTAGATCACAAAGATGTTTAACATCTAAGTATGTTTGTTTCTTCACTTCTTTGTTGAAATCTTATCATTAATGTTATTTCTGCTTGGTGTAAGCATCTGAGTGCACTAAATAATTATATTTCTAATAGCTAACTGCAGATATAAATTAGGTGAAATGGGCAGTGGTATGTGCGTGAGTGTGGTGGTCAGAGGGGCCGATACAGCAGATTGGCCAGATGAATAATGCACAAAATATTAATAATTCTTATTATGCTTAATAATAATAATAATAAAAAAACTATCTACAAAAAACATTTCAATTTAATTATTTTAGCATATTTGACACAGTACATTACAATATATATATATAAGACAGAGATGCTTTCTGCCTTCCATGTAAAGTACACTTAGTTAGGCTTATATTCATTTCACTCAAAGTTAAAGTTACAAAGAATCAATTAACCAATCTGTTACACAGATTATTCAAAGATATTGTAGCTAGTCAACTGCCTATAGGTCTAAACTGGAGTTCCATCTTTTGGAGGTTTGGTAGAGTCCTTCTGTTTAAGCCTATCCTCACTGTGAGCAGTGGGCTGTTCAAGAGGCTTTGCCTCCGATTTTACTACATTTTCAGTTTCGTTTTGTCCATCTTTAGTGATACTGCTCTCCTCCCCAGATACAGGAGGAAGTGAGAGGTCCTCTGCCGCAGGAGGGGGCGTCAGGTCCTCTGCCGCAGGAGGGGGCGTCAGGTCCTCTGCCGCAGGAGGGGGCGTCAGGTCCTCTGCCGCAGGAGGGGGCGTCAGGTCCTCTGCCGCAGGAGGGGGCGTCAGGTCCTCTGCCGCAGGAGGGGGCGTCAGGTCGTTTGATGCAGGTGGAGGAGGTGGTGGTGTTGCAGTGAGGTGGGTAAGGTCCTCTTCTATAGGTGGAGGTGTGAGGTCCTCTGATGCAGGTGGGGGCATGAGTTCCTCTGCTGCAGGTGCGGGTGTGAGGTCCTCCGCTGCAGGTGCGGGCGTGAGGTCCTCCGCTGCAGGTGCGGGCGTGAGGTCCTCCGCTGCAGGTGCGGGCGTGAGGTCCTCCGCTGCAGGTGGAGGAAGCGGCGGCGTTGCAGTGAGGTGGGTAAGGTCCTCTGCTGCAGGTGGAGGAAGCGGCGGCGTTGCAGTGAGGTGGGTAAGGTCCTCTGCTGTAGGAAGCGGAGTGAGGCTCTCTGCTGCTGCAGGTGCGGGCGTGAGGTCGCTGAGGTCTGCTGCTGCAGGTGCGCAGGTGCGTGAGGTGAGGTCCTCTGCTGCAGGTGCGAGGTCCTCTGCTGCAGGTGGAGGAAGCGGCGGCGTTGCAGTGAGGTGGGTAAGGTCCTCTGCTGCAGGTGGAGAAGGAGGCGGCGGTGGCGTTGCAGTGAGGTGGGTAAGGTCCTCTGCTGCAGGTGGAGAAGGAGGCGGCGGTGGCGTTGCAGTGAGGTGGGTAAGGTCCTCTGCTGTAGGAAGCGGAGTGAGGCTCTCTGCTGCAGGTGCGGGCGTGAGGTCCTCTGCTGCAGGTGCGGGCGTGAGGTCCTCTGCTGCAGGTGCGGGCGTGAGGTCCTCTGCTGCAGGTGCGGGCGTGAGGTCCTCTGCTGCAGGTGCGGGCGTGAGGTCCTCTGCTGCAGGTGCGGGCGTGAGGTCCTCTGCTGCAGATAGAGGAAGCGGCGGCGTTGCAGTGAGGTGGGTAAGGTCCTCTGCTGTAGGAAGCGAAGTGAGGTTCTCTGAAGGAGAAGGTGTGAGGTCCTCTGATGAAGGAGAAGCAGGAGCTGGTGTTACAGTGAGGTGGCTGAGGTCCTCTACTACAGGAGGAGGTGGAGTCATATTCATGACTGGAGCAATCACTTCTTGAGCCTGAGAAATCTCAGGAGGAGGCAGAGCGAAGCCCATCTTTCCCCCACTTGCTGACGCCTCAGGTTTTGGGGGGGTCAAGGTCTTTGCCTCCTCTTCAGCATAAAGCCAGTCCATCTTCTGACGATGCTGTTTGACAGCATCATCCACCCGGGCATCAATCATTGCCTCCGTCAGGACGCCATCTTCAGAGGAATAGGCTGCAGCCTACAAAAGGGTAAAAATCACACTTCATTTCTCAAAATGCACTAATTATCACACTATGCATATACTATTCTAGAAAAAATAAGGATGCCTACATACCTGCCAAGCCACTCCGAGTTTGGAGATCTCACGTCCGGACATACCCTCTGTTCGGGCAGCAATCTCAGAGCACTTTTTACCGTAGTCAAATTGAGCAAGCTTCATCCTCCTATACAACAAACATACATAAGAAGTTAACCTATTCTTCTATCTGACTTTTATTTTTAACTATACACTTACTGTCTGCCGCCAGTTGCTGGTTCAAGTACATATTTGTCAAAATAGAGGCGCACCAGCCTCTCCCTCTCATCAGGACCAGGTAGGGCAAAATTCACAATTTCATCTATTCTGTCATTTATAGCCCAGTCAAACTGCTCTGGCTGATTACTAGCCAGTACCAACATGAATCTAGACAAAACAAATTAAGTAACTATGTGAACCTTTAATATTATGAAACAAATGTAATGTAAAGTCTTACTTGTTGCTCTGTTCACCAGTGCGGTACAAGAAAGCATTGAGCGTCGCCCTTAGATCTTCACTAATTTTTTCCTACAGAATACATATTTAAAGTTTAAAGCTCAATAAATAAAAAGGCAAACCCATTTTGAAATGTTAAATGCAGATTTACCGTGGATCGCTTACGAAGGAATGCATCAGCTTCATCAACAAAAAGCAGTAGTCTGTAAGGGGAGAGGTTGTATATTTTGGGGTGAAGTTTCTGCTTAGATTTTAAAGGAAAACCTAATGAATAATTGTAACACTTACCCACGGCGACTTGTGTTGGCCCAGTCAAATACTTTGTGCATTGCAGTTACCCCATCACGACCCATAGGTGCAACATCACCACCAGTCATAATGGCATAGTCCATTCCAGAATGCATTGCCAGCTTCTACTCGGAGGAAAATGCCTTTTATTTAGTCAAACACAGAACCAGCACCAACGGTATTGTAAAGGAGTCTCACTTTGAACAATTAAACTAAAATGACTTTAACAAAAAAAAGCACCTTAGCAAAGAGGGTTTTGCCTGTTCCTGGAGGGCCATACATAAGGATGTTTCTGTACAGGCCATGGTTTTGCCTTGTGTTTCTTGTGGCTATTGCGATATCACGCACACGCTCTTCCAGAGATGGCTAAAAGAATTGAATATGATTACATGCTTGTAATACAAATGCAAATTTTCTTTTTGGGAGGTACTTACACTGAGAACAACTCCTTCTAGAGCATCCTGAGGTTTACTTTTCAACCGCTTGGCTGTCTAAATGGTCAAGTATAATTGAGATAATCTTACCACTAGTAAGACGCATTGGAAATACAGTACAGTTTACATATTACATGGGTTAACTGTAGTTTTGCTACCTTCACTGGATGTTTTACTGCCTCAGCAACAGTAAAACGAGATGTCTCTCGCACAAGTGATGGCTTCCCAAGTCTTGCTTCAATGTAGCGTCCAGCTACTGCTGTTGCATTACGGGCTGAATACACTCCCACAGCTAAAAGAGTCAGTCCTGCAACCTGGAGATGACAATTACATAAAGTTTATAGAAGCAATGGCACATGATCAATATATTTGTTTTCCATTATAGTTTGATGTAGTTTTATAAGGTCTTATATTACACAAAATCAACTCTTATGAACTTTAAGTCATGTTATATTGTTGTTACCTCCTCAAAAACATACCTGGAGTTGTGTTTAGTTTCATTCACACATGTTTGAGTGATCCTTTATTACTAGTCTGTCTGCATCTCAAAAACTCAATGTTGCTCCACCTTGTGACGTCATTTAGTGGTAGTTTAAGTTAACAGCTACCTTTTACCTTTACTTTAATAGAGACAGGAAATTCCAGGGCTGAAATTATCCTAATTATTCTAGTGAATGTGTATTGACAGTGACAGTGGAGAACTTCCTGTATTACCATATGACATCACAAGGTGGAACAGGGTGTCTTCAGTTTGAGAGAAAAACTCTAAATAGGCAGGGGTTGTGTGGTAAACATGTGTGAAAGAAACAAAGCACAACTCCAGATATCTGATGAGAAAACAACATTATAACAGATCAGAAAATAGTGTAATATGGGCTCTTTAATGAACTTTTGTTGTGACTCACTGTGGCTGTAACTTTGTCCCAGTCTGACACAAAAGCACGAAATCCTTCCCCAAACACAGCGCCTGCAGTCCTAAAGGAAATATTGGGAACTGTTGATTAACACCCAGCACAATCAAAGAAAATACAACTTAGATTAAAACAGATGAAAATTAGTCTAACTTTATGGACTCCAGGACTGTCTGTCTGTGTTCAGCAGCCTTCAGTCGAATTTGTTCACGAATAATATCAGCATTCTCTCTTTCTACTCGAGCTCTTGCTTTTGCTTCCGCTTCTATTCGCAGAAGTTCGTTTTTATGTCTCAGCTCCATCTCATGCTCAATTGTTGCTAAAAATTAGATATACAAAACATTTTAGCAAAAACATTTGAAACAGTGAAGGCAGAGTTTTGTCAAATATGTATGTGGTTTACCTTTTCTCATGGCTTCTTGCTTCTGCACTGACTCCTCCTGTTTACGGAGGTTCTCTTCATTGAGAAGTTGCTGTTGATAGAAACATTCCATTTACAATTGTATTTCTCTATGATTGAAGTATTATAAAATGGGACTGACCTGTTGTCTGAGTTGTTCCTCATATCGCTGTCTAGCGAGCTTGTCCTGGTACTGGGCCCGCTGATTAAACACAATACAACACAACAGGTTTCATTCATTCGGCTGCTCAATAGAATTTAATTTTTTGTTAAAAAGGTAGAAGTTTTTGAATCTGTACTCACAGCTTGATGTTGTCTTGTCTCCTCGTTCAGCGTTTTTCTTCTTTCTTCTCCCTGGAGTTTTATCTGGTCCCCTTTGAGCTGCTCAACTGCAGCTTCATACTCCTAATAACAAAACACAATGGTGACGACAAGGTGGCAATGATGACATTGAGGAATAGGTTTAAGAAGGATTTTTGCACCTTGATTTTGGTCTGATGCTCCAACTGTGCAGTTTGCTCTTGCATACGGGCTAAATCAAGGGCCTCTTTGGCATGACCTGGTAAGACAGGTGTCATTAAGGAATTAGTTAAACAGCAGGACAGTAAAAAAAAAAAAAAACAACAACAACAAAAACTGTCAAGTTGCTAATTGATTAAAACATTAAAGATTACCATATTGAAGAAATTGTTACTGATAAAAGTTGAAAGTTATGTATTTTTTATACATTTTTATACAGTATTGAAGTGACTCTCTGATTAACTGAATTAATTCAAACAGCAGTGAACTTTGTAGGTACCCATGCAATCCCCCTTGGCTATGACCTTTGAACTACAGAGTAATGAATGAAGGTGAGTACACAGCATGACCATTCATGGCAGTAGTACATGATGTGACCATAGACCATAGTCATTTATACTGAGCAGACACCATGCTCCAAAGAAGTCTAGTGGGTCCGCTCAGCACTTACGCGACTTGTCGAGCTCCTTGGCTGCCTGAGCAGCTCGCTCCAGTCCAGTAGGATCGAAATTACTCCATTTGTCCTTGGGTTTATCTCCCCCGCTCCCTGAACCCCCAGTAGGTGGTGGCGGAGGGGGCGGCGGCTGACCGGGCACACCCGGCGGCTCGGGTTGCCCCTTGTTCAGACCAAACAGCCACGACATGTCCAGTGGAAGGAATAAAACACAGTTTAGCCGGTCCTGTGGGGCTCTATAGACTCTGGCTGCAAGATGTGTCAATGCACTTCCTCCACGCGTGCTCACACCGCTGCTCTTCGCGCAAGTGCACTACTGCGTAAGCGTCAATCTGAAGGACAATATATCTGATTGGCTGGTGCTGAACACAATGACTTCTTATTGGTTGAAAAAGCAGTCGTTGCCGTGTGCGTCATGCTCCAAACTCCTCCCATAACTGCTGAAATCCTCTCCGAGAAGTGCATTCATAAGACCTTGGTTGCATCAGGCTTTTGAAAAGCAAAGATAAAAAATGAATGTCTTCACGAAACTAAAAGAATTGTTTAAATTGAACACAGCCACAAAATGATAAATGTGTGAAATTTTCACATTCAGTTAATGACACATACTTTATTCATCATATCACATATCAGTTATATATGGCTGCACAATGATTCGTTTTTAAGTTGGAGTAACAATGTATAAAATAGAAAGGAATATCAATTTAAAATGTCCTGTCCTCTATCTGTATTTATTCCATTTAAAAAGATTATAAACATCAATGAAGACAGTACAATAGTACATATCAAAAAGTTTAATGAAAGAAACACTAGATGAAAAAATACATACACACAATTCCTGCAATATAATGTTATACATGAGCATGTTGTTTTTTCTTTCCAGAAGTAACGATACAAGAAGAGCATAGAATTTACAATGCTTTGCTCTCCTAGCAGTGCATAATACTGTAATTGAAAGAACAAAATTAGTTATAATATTTTATTTTATTTAATGTAAGAAAACTACACGCGACAGAACACCAGGAGGCTCTTTCCCATCACCCAGTGCTGCACGGAAACCCTCCTGTTGTCGAGCTCGAGCCAGTTTGGCCAGTGACAGGAATGACCGCGGCTCTGTGATGGCCAAATCACTGATGACATGACGGTTGAGCTGCACACTGCTCTATATAAACAAAACACAACAACATGAGCAAGCAAGTAAAAGGCTAGTAGAGGACCCATTAAAAAAAAATAATAATAATCAAATCGGATTTCACTAACCTTCACTAAGTTATGCATAAGAGCAGGATACTTCATCCCATGCTCCCGTGAGGCTGCTGCTATCCGTGAAATCCACAGCTATAAATGCATTTGGTTATTAATAAGAAAACAAAAAAGTTAAAATATTTTGTATAGAAGATAAGCCACATAATAAAACTGTTCTAGCTGGACTGAAAACACCAAAAACCAAGATCCAAAGAATGAATGAAAAACATTCACCCCAAAACAACAGATGTGTCTATAAATAAATCTATGGATGGGAGATGTATCAGCAGTTATTAAGGTATCCAATATGTTGAGAGCCCTTTACTGTAAGTAGGGAAATTATTTGCTGATCTATGTTATAATATTGTGTTATAATATTGTTTCCTCATCACAAACATACTTGAAGTTGTGTTTTGTTTCATTCACACATGTTTAGCACACAAACACTGCATATTTAAGCTGAGTTCTTTTCTCAAACTGAAAACACTGGGATCCACTTTGTGAGGTCATGTGGCAATACATGGAGTGCTCCACTATGTTTTTAAACTCCATACACCTTCACTAGAATCATTTGGATGATTTCAACCCTGGAATTGCCAATCTCCACTGAACTAAAGGTACCAAGGTAGCTTGAAAGGTAGCTCGGTTAACTTGAAAACTACCATAGCATTTTGAGCTCTGGAAATGTAGGTAGACTAAGGGTTACTCAAACATGTATGAATGAAACAAAACACAACTCCAATTGTGCTTTCGATGAGGTAAGAACATTATAACATGGCTAAAAGCTCACACGAGTCAATTTTGCGTAATATAGGACCTTGAAACCTTGGCAGCCACACCTTTGGATTTTCGGAATACTATCCCTTGTCTTTGCTTTAAAATAGCATAATAGTAATATTTCAGCCCTTTTTTTCCCCAATATCCATGCAAGGCTCACATTGGACACATTAGCTACATCACAAATATGACGTCTGCAAAATGTCTTGTAAATTAACACGCAAACTGTTTCAATGAACACACTACTACCCCCTGGCGTTGGATTGGCAACACAGCAACATGTACATGAATGTGTATAGAGCACATTTTACCGTTCTCATGTTGCGTTTCTTGATCTTTCTAGCTTTGGTTGCGTAGACAAAAGCCCTTCTGACTGCCCGCACGGCCAATTTGTAGCAGCGATTCTTTCTCCCTCTGAAATGCTGAAAGAAGAAAACTGCATCACCAACAGCTGCAGCCCAAAGGATGACATCAAAATGACCAAATTATCAACACGTGACAATGATAAGATGTATTCCCAAAAGGCCGTATGATGAAACACAATCAACAAAATTAAATAACACTGATGCTGTCCTCCAGAAAATAGTAACATCCACGTCTTTCCTTACCCGAGCATGTTTAAGGACTTCCTGGACTTTCCAATATCTGTCAGGTCCACGGCTTCTTATCCAGCATGATAACGTGAGAAAAACCATGGCTGTCCTACACTAGAATAGATCAGATGATATATAAGATCTATCTAAGTAGTTCATTCGTAGTTGTTATGCGAGGTCTGTACGCATGGCGAGACCAAGGGCGAAGGTATGTTTGATTTAAAGCCTTGGCGACACCTACCTTTAACAATAGCTAAACAATCGCTTGCTAATGACAACTCAAGAGAAACTCTATCACCGAACAACTGGTTATCTTTCACAAACACTGATTTCGGATTACTGGTTACAAATTTCAGTAAATTCACCAAAATGCAAGTGGAAATTTTGATTTTTGGCTCGCCTTAAAGAGTTCGGTGAGAAAAACAAGCGAACCCACGTACATATGACGCAGAGCCGAAGCGGTGAATTCTGGGAGCTAACGCTGGAGGTCAGAGTAGATCCAAAATGTCGGCGGCAGGTCTCTCGTCCTTGAGCCGCTGTGGTGTTTTAGCTTTCCGTTCCCACCCGGCCCTTATGGTATGTCTATCGCAACTTCAGTAAACTACCTACCTAGCGGATTATGCGGTTTGTTTGTAAAGAAATGCAAAAATGTTTAAAACGGGATCAAGCCATCTTTGAGTGCTAAGCTATGCTGGGCTAAGATGAAAACACACTTAGCCTCTTCCTGGTCAAATAGGGTCAGCAAGAACTGTCACCATGTTATGTCTTTAAAAGATTGCTTTATCACAGCCATTTTTTTATTTAATTCATCGTTCAATTGTATACATAATAACTATCTTTACAGATTAATCTCTGCTTATGTTAAACGACATGATTTGAACTTGAACGTAAAAGTGAATAGTATTAATCAAAAGCCCTAGTATTATGCTTACGTTATCAAAGCTTATGTGCTGTATAAATATGTGTTTACTTTTGTTGCTATTGCCTTCAGGCTGTCCGGTGGGCTCAGACAGCAGCCGCTCCTGCACCTCAGCCAAGACTAAAGAAGTTTCAGATTTACAGATGGGACCCAGACACTCCAGGAGACAAACCCCGCATGCAGACCTACGAGATTGACCTCAACACGTAAGAAATGCATTTAAACACAGCAGACTAATTATTGCAAAGTAGACTCAATTTTTAACAAGACCTTTTGTGCCCCATTCTCTTCAGATGTGGCCCAATGGTTCTTGATGCCCTTATCAAAATAAAAAATGAGATGGACCCAACACTTACTTTCCGACGCTCCTGCAGAGAAGGTTGGTCATATTAACTGGCATTATGCATCACCTTGAAAGTATGGAAAGTCTAAAACAATATTTGTATGTATATATACATGATCTCGATAAAATGATTCCCTAATTCCAGGTATTTGTGGATCTTGTGCAATGAACATCAATGGTGGAAACACACTTGCTTGTCTTAATAAAATTGATACAAATTTAAGCAAGCCTTCAAAGATTTACCCCCTGCCACACATGTATGTGGTCAAAGATCTTGTTCCTGTGAGTAAATCAAACTTAGACCATCTCCATGTTGTTGACTTTAATCTGAATCTCTGACTGCTGTTGCTTCAGGATATGAGTAACTTCTACGCTCAGTACAAGTCCATTGAACCATATCTAAAGAAGAAGGATGAGACCAAAGAAGGGAAAGATCAGTACTATCAGTCTGTTGAAGACCGACAGAAGCTGGTATAATTAATTTTATTAATGAATAAGTGTTTTGTTTAAAAGGTACAGGTCTAATAATGTTTTGCGTTGCAGGATGGCCTGTATGAATGCATCCTGTGTGCCTGCTGTAGTACAAGTTGCCCTAGTTATTGGTGGAACGGTGACAAATACCTGGGCCCAGCGGTGCTCATGCAGGTGAGTATGTGGTTATACTGATTTTCAGAATGTGAGGATGTTGTAGTCCCTGATAGGCATGGGATGATACTGAAATTGATCATGGACAAAATAATTGAGATTAACAATTACATAATGATAAAAACATTTTATGAATATGAATAATTTAATAATAATTTTAATATTTTTTATATTATGAATAGGTTCCATATTTAAGCAACTAATATAGAATTAAATTTTTTTGAAACAATGATTTACAAGAGAACATCATGAATAAGTAGCTTTTTTCTGCACATTTTGGTGCAACATTCTCACAATTCTATAAAAATATCCACAAACAGTTATTGTTGTTATTGTTTATTGTCCCAGATCGGGTGCACAAGACATTAATTCCTATTGATGACATTGCAAGAAATGTCTAAAAGCTAAATTCACAATCGTTAATTACCTGATCATTTATATCAGTGTCAAGACCTAAGAACTCCAAATTTAATATTTTACAACAAAAATCAGCATCTTAACAATATAAATTTGAACTGCCCCCCATCTGTGTTTAAATACTATTGGCCAATAGAATGCTATGACGTCATCTCAAACCCAGCAATTTATATAATTTTTATTTGGTATGTAATGTATATCCTGTTTGTAGGCATATCGTTGGATGATCGACTCAAGAGATGAGTTTACAGAGGAACGTCTTTCCAAACTGCAGGATCCTTTCTCCCTCTACCGCTGTCACACAATCATGAACTGCACCAAGACCTGCCCCAAGGTCAGTGTTGGATTTTACCTTTCATAAAATCTGTTATTGTTTAGTATTTTAAATATTGCAGCCTAGGCTAGCATGTGGCAGCACAATGTGACATATTGTATGAACAAAACCAAAATTTGTTGTGGTCGCATATTACTCTCAGATCAAGACCAGTCATATTAATAGTGATATGACCTAAAATGAGTAACAGAGATATAAATATTTTGGTTTGAATAGACTGAATCAATGTGCTTCTTGTCCATAGGGCTTGAATCCCGGCAAAGCAATTGCAGAGATAAAGAAAATGATGGCTACATACAAAGACAAGAAAGCAGTTGCAGCTTGAACGCTCAGATGCCTTCTTCATTGTTTCCCTCCATAATTGAATTACATTTTGATTCAAATTCTTGTTGAGGTCTATTGCACCATTTCAGCACACTCTGTAACAGATGTCTGTGAGATGTTGGTGAAATAAATGCGCACATGTACAGCCTGAATGAGAGCAAGTGTGTAAGTCTTACCTGTAACATAACTTTATATTAATTTATCTCTAAACCATTTGCTTTTCTGACCTCATACTACATATTGAGGTGTACAAGATGTTTCTGCAGGGAAGTGTTTCCTATTTGAATAGTGGTGGTAGCCATTATCTGGCCTCTAGTTCATATCCCCAGAGATGCCACATTGTAAGAGCATTTTATGTATTGATGAAATATAAATATTTAAATGCAATCTAATGACTGTTGTTGTCTTATTGGTTGTGTTGCAAACAATATGATTATTTAACATTTTTTCTAACTTTAAAAAGTACAATATTTAGCTATTATCTTGATCTAATGCAAATCAGCTTTGCCAAAACGTGCATGATGGATATATTTTTCTTAGTATGCTTATCGTGATGCTCGTGAGTCGTGACGTACCTCGCGCTGGTGACCATTGCTGGGATCAGATACAGACCCTTCTGACCTAGGTATAGTCAGAACTAAATCCAGTCGTGGTTCGTGGGGGGTCCCGGGGCCGGACTGGGCGGAGACTTACAGATGTGGGTTGGTACAATGTGGCGATGTGAGGTCCTGTGTATTCAGTGGACGTATGAGAGGACGGCGCAGTCGGCACAGAAAATCTGAATAAACTTTGGTAAGTAAACACGTTATACGCCTGGTAGCCTATTTGATATTTTCTAATAACCTTGCAGTTGATTTTAAACTCACTTGGATTTTAACTAACACATCTATTGGATTAATTAACAATTGAAAATCTTGATTAAATCTGCTACCTAATCGTAGTTGACGTGAGTTCGGGGGTTATTCGTTTGTTGGTTCGTGGTATAGGACATGTGGTGCTGAGAAGCAGGAGGTGGGACTTCACAGCACTGCGGTAATGGTACTACAATGAGGAGTGAGGGTGCCAAGAGGGAAAACTTTTTCAAGAAAAAAGTTTCCTCGTGAAAGCGGAGGAGGTCGTTGAGGGCAAATAGGAATGAATATTGTGAATATTTTACGCACTGTTGTTCTTGCTCTGTCGTTATAGTCTTGTAAACTGGTGACATCCCTTGTAGCTGTCCTTAAAAACTCCAGTAATGTCTTTGCATGTGTTTTGGGGGAGACGGGGGTCTGGAAAGAGGACTGGAGTTAAGGGGGGTGTAATGGCTCCCAGATGTTTGCTGTGAAGCCATATGTTTTCCGATAGCCACTGGGATGCACAAGAAAGAATGCCCATGAACGTGCAGACACAAGCACTGATTTATCGATTCACAACTCCAAATTGTGCTCCGTGTGTTTAGTCTTCGTTGTGTCCAGATGCACTGAGAATTACATGGAAAAAGAGAACTGCAATGCCAAACAGATATACAACTGTTAGTGTGGTGAATGATTCCCAGTTTTTGGAAGGGATACTCTGCTAATACTGGTAGCCTACACAGGGACTAGTCATAGGCACCTTTTGCAGATCCATATTCTGGAATTAGTTTAATAAAGTTTTATTTCTGGCCAAGTGTTGTAGTTGGTAAAAATCAACTGTATGTAACACTGCATATGGAGAAAATGGGCCCTGTTTATCTATGATGGATCTAAACATGTCACAAGCAAAGGTCATGAAAAGTTTGAGAATGAATAATTATACTTTTTCAAAGAAAGCAAAAACTGTAGGCTATATTAATCAAAAGGTTATAGTCAATGCACTGTCCTCCTAGCCATGTAACAGCTGTGTTTTATGCTCTCTAAGTGGGACAGAAAGGAAATTAGGGATGTAGAGACAGACAGAGAAAAAAAACAAAGCAAAGAGAGGGGAGAGGGGGTCCATGCGTCTCTTTTCCAGGAATCCATCCCGTCTTGAGCCCTGAGTTTTGAGTCTGTAGCAAAAGGAAAAGTAGGAAACCAGAGATTGTTCTTCAAAGACGACAGACGTGCCACATTCTTGCTGTCACTATTTGGGGCCAGTTCAGACAGACAGACAGACAGACAGAGAGAGAGAGAGAGAGAGAGGAAGAGGGGGTGAGGGGTGAAGGAGGGCATTTAGGGGGAGAGTGGTGGGGGTGGGACAGGGAACCAAATGGGTTTAACTGTTGATGTTGTTTTACTGTTTCTAGTGTCAAAGTCAGACTACCTCCACGTGTGACCATGAGAGTACTCCTGCTCCTTACATTACAAGGTAACCTAAAACAAAAGCTTACATTTTTAGCAACTAATATTGTTTTTGTGATTTATGCATTTCATATTTGAATTTTAAATGGGTCCTTTGTTTGTCTTTAAGTTAAGATTATAGCTGTTTTCAATTTAATGTCAACTGGCAAAATCAGGGGTATCCAAACATTTTTCACTAAGGGATATATATTGAAACTTTTATGGAGTAAAGCCTGAGCCACCGCACCTTTATTGTTTGGAATTAATGTTAAGTCAGTATCACATCAAATCTTTTTTTATTTAGGTTAAGATAGCAGAATTCAGAAAAATTGCAGTGGAAATAAGTACTTTTGGTCTTTTGGGCCTAACAGCCGGTAGCTTGAGGTCCAACAAAAATTGGTCTGGGGCCACATTTGGCTCCCGGACCATACAGTTAAAGAATTTAATTTATGAATAGCTCCTTTAGCAATTTGTAGTATTTACACACACACATTTCCCAACTGAGACAGATGTATTGATACTGATTATTTTTATTGATTAATCTCTGTAGCACTACCCCCACCGAGTTCAAACAAACGAACTAGATTGCTTGAGGAAAGGCAGCCAGCATAAAACTGAAAATGCCAGATCAATACACATCCACAGCACTGCACACAAGAAAACTGATAATGTGGTGAAATATGAAATTATTTTTGTGTCCAAAGCTTCAGTTTTTGTTGTTTTTTACATAATTTTTTGTTCTGGTGTATAGTGGTGATATTGGCCCAGGCTCAATACCAGGACCGATACCCTTATGGTGAGTTTATGTGAGTTTATACTTTGTGTATTTTCATGCACTTGTATCTGTTTCTGGTTCTTTTAATTGTCTTCCCATGTGTCATCTCGCCTCAAGATACTCCCCCTCCTCCCTCTCCTCTCCTTTACCCCCTGCAAACAAGCACACAGCCTGTAAAATGCACTTTCTGTAAACAACTTGGATATGAAGTCACACTTGTTGGAGTTTTATGGCATTAATGTGTTTTGTTTTAGATGCTGAAAAGTCTTATTTATTTATTTTTTTTATCTTGTTTTCATTATGTCTGCCCTGACTTCACAGTAGAGCCAGTTGAGTATGGACCTGATTACTTTCCAGGTAAAAAGTTTCAACAGCATGATTTATTATTGAAGGCTAAACTCAATTTGTGCTTAGTAACTATGCACTTACAGGATTAAGGTTAGGAGTTAGCATCTACAATTAGGGTATTAATTAACTAGTTAAGCCAGAACCTAAAATCTAAAACTCATAAACTTAGTTTGGTATGATGTTTCTCTTCATGGTTTACTAATTAAGTGTAATTATTATAGTGTACAGTGTTACTATACCATTGCAAAATACATAAATTACCTTTACTTTTGTCCTCCCAGTCAGTCACGTGGGAGTCTTGGTTTTATGCATGTGTGTCTTTTACTAGTTTAATATATTCTTGCCTTTCTTCACAATTTGTTACTGTACTCTAGTTTTAGCAAAGAAATCTGACATTTACTTTATTACATTTTTTTTTTTAGTAATTATTATTATTTTTTTAAGATACTACTGACTTGGAGAGTTCAGACCCAGTCCCGGGTACATACCAACAGCAAGTTCGACTGCAGCCTGTCGTGCGTCCAGAGAAAACAGGTAATTCTTGGCAACATCATTTGGACTGTGGTGGTTATAATTTGTTTATTGGGTTATTCTTGGTTATAGAGTTGGAGACTGAGCCCACTGAGCCAGGACCTTTGGGTAAGAAAACAATTTTAATTTTTTTTTATAAATATGGACCCTAAAATATAAGAATATGTTTTAGCAGTAGATTCATTGATTTACAAGAACTCAGATGGTTAGTGTGATGGTTAGGTAGTTTTATTATATTGTAGCAATCAGCTGCTTTCATAGCCTTGACTATATATATATATAATTTTATATATATATATATATATATATATATATATATATATATATATATATATATATATATATATATATATATATGAAAAAAAAAAAAAAAAAATGTGTAGGTCTCTCTCACCCTCATTCAGCTCGGGTCCTCTACCAGAGGCCTGGGAGCTTGAGAGTTCTGCGCAGTATCTTTGCTGTTCCCAGTACTGCACTTTTCTGGACTGAGATGTCCATTGTTTTTCCCGGTATCTGTTGAAGCCACTCTCCCAGTTTGGGGGTTACAGCCCCGAGTGCTCCGATCACCACAGGCACCACTGATGCCTTTACTTTCCAGGCTCTCTCCAGCTCTTCCTTGAGCTCTGCTCTGTTTCTTATCCACCACCACTATGTCTGGTTGGTTCGCCATCACCATTCTGTCAGTCTGTATCTGGAAGTCCCACAGGATCTTGGCTCAGTCATTCTCCACAGCCTTTGGAGGTGTTTCCCACCTTGATCCTGGGGTCTCCAGCCCGTACTCTGCACAGATGTTTCTGTACACTATGCCCGCCACTTGGTTATGTCGCTCCATGTATGCTTTCCCTGCCAGCATCTTACACCCTGCAGTTATGTGCTGGACTGTCTCAGGAGCCTCTTTGCACAGTCTACACCGTGGGTCTTGTCTGGTGTGGTAGATCTGGGCCTCTATTGCTCGAGTGCCCAGGGCCTGCTCCTGAGCAGCCAGGATGAGTGCCTCTGTGCTGTCCTTCAGACCAGCCCTCTCAAGCCATTGGTAGGATTTCTTGATATCAGCCACTTCAGTTATGTTCCGGTGGTACGCCCCATGTAGGGGTTTGTCCTGCCATGATGGTCCCTCCAGCACCTCTTCCTCTGGACCCCACTGTCTGAGACATTCTCTGAGCACCTCATCTGCCGGGGCCTTGTCCTTGATGTACTCAAGGAGCTTGGATGTTTCATCCTGGACAGTGGTTCCCACACTCACTAGTCCTCGGCTCCCTTCCTTCCGGCCTGCGTACAGTCTCAGGGTGCTGGATTTGGGATGGAACCCTCCATGCATGGTCAGGAGCTTTCGTGTCTTAACATCTGTGGTCTGTATCTCCTCCTTTGGCCAGCTTACAATCGCTGCAGGGTATCTGATCACTGGCAGGGCGTAGCTGTTGATTGCCTGCACCTTGTTCTTGCCATTGAGCTGGCTTCTAAGGACTTGCCTCACTCTTTGCAGGTATTTGGCCGTAGCCGCTTTCCTTGTTGCCTCTTCAAGGTTGCCATTTGCTTGTGGGATACCAAGGTACTTGTAACTGTCCTCAACGTCTGCTATTGTTCCCTCTGGGAGTGACACCCCCTCTGTGTGTTCTACCTTCCCTCTCTTTGTCACCATCCTGCTACATTTCTCAAGCCCGAATGACATCCCAATGTCTGTACTGTAGATCCTTGTGGTGTGGATCAGTGAGTCGATGTCTCGCTCACTCTTAGCGTACAGCTTGATGTCATCCATGTAGAGGAGGTGACTGATGGTGGCCCCGTTTCTGAGTCGGTATCCATAGCCATTGCGGTCGATTATTTGGCTGAGAGGGTTCAGGCCTATGCAGAACAGTAGTGGGGACAGTGAGTCTCCTTGGTATATGCCACATTTGATGGACACATGTGCAAGTGGCTTCCCCTTGGCTTCAAGGGTGGTTTTCCACAACCGCATTGAGTTTGCAATGAACGCCCTTAGAGTCCTGTTGATATTGTACAGCTTCAAGCACTCAGTGATCCATGTGTGTGGCATTGAGTCATAGACTTTCTTGTAATCAATCCAGGCAGTGCACAGGTTGGTCTTACGGGTTCTGCAGTCACGGGCGACTGTTCGGTCAACCAGGAGTTGGTGTTTGGCTCCCCTGGTGTTTTTGCCGATACCCTTCTGTGCTGTGCTCATGTATTGATTCATGTGCCCACTTATCTTAGCCGCAATGATGCCTGACATGAGCTTCCATGTTGTGGAGAGACAGGTTATTGGCCGATAGTTGGATGGGACTGCACCCTTTGAGGGATCCTTTAGGATCAGGATCGTACGCCCTTGGGTTAACCATTCAGGGTGAGTCCCATCCCTTAGCAGCTGGTTCATTTGTGCTGCCAGGCGCTCGTGGAGGGCAGTGAGCTTCTTTAGCCAGTACGCATGGATCATGTCAGGGCCCGGTGCGGTCCAGTTTTTCATACCTGAGACTCTTCCCTGGATGTCTGCCACTGTGATGGTGACTGGATTCTGTTCAGGGAGGTTGCTGTGGTCTTCTCTCAGATCCACCAGCCACTGTGCATTGGTGTTATGTGATGCCTCCCTCTCCCATATGCCTTTCCAGTACCTCTCAGTCTCCAGCCTTGGTGGGTCTGCTCTGGTGTTATTACCCTGCCACTGAGCGTACACTTTCGCCGGTTGTGTTGCGAACAGCCGGTTTATTCGTCTGGCCTCGTTATCTCGTGTGTACCTCTTTAGGCGGCTGGCCAAGGCTTGGAGCCTTTGTTTGGCAGTTTCGAGTGCTTCAGGTATGGGCAACTGGTTGTACCTCTTGGGCACTTGCTTTTTCATTGCGCCTTTCTGGGCCTCTGACAGTTGGCTCACTTCTCTCCGCACCTCCTTGATTTTAGCCTCTAACCGTCTTTGCCATGGTGGGTATTGTATCGCATGGCTCCCATGGTTGCTCTTATAGCCCAACACATCTAGGATCACTGCTGCTGAAGTGTATATCAGCTCATTGGTTTCAGTGATTGTTGTGGTAGGGATCACTGTCAGTGCTGCATTCACATCATCTAGGAGACTTTCAGATGGTACTTCACTTAGCCTCTGTAACTGGCATCGGGGTTGCCTTGTGTTCATTCGGGCCATGATCTTATCTTTCAGGTCAGTCGCTGCCTCGCTCAGCGTGATACTTATTGGGGCTTCGTACCCAATCTCTGGTTGGGGAGTTGGTGTCAACTCCCCTCTGACCTGGCACACTGGTTCCCCCTTGCCGTGGCATTTGTGTTGTACCTCATCAATCTCTAGTTGTGATAGCAGTTGCCGTTTGTGGATGTTGGAACACTGAGCTACTAGTTGTTTGGCCGTTAGCTTGGACTGTGGGTATCGTAATAACCATTTCTCCCACATCCTGTTCATGTAACCCCTCTGCCTAGGGTTACTGTAGTAGTAACATTCCAACAGAGCCTTGTTCTCGCATCTCGCCCATTTCCTCCGTGTTCCAGTAGCCCATTTTTCATCAAGGTGCCCTGGTTCCCCAGCACCTGATGCAGACCTTGTTTGGCCGGGCGACGTCTGAGCCGGCATGTCATACGTTTCTTTCTCTCTCATCATTGTATGAGGTGGGCAGTAGCACGAAGGCTCTTGCCCAAGGACCCACACTGGTTAGCTCATTGCCCCCCCCCCGCCCCGTCAGAGGGGGGATTTGAACCTGGGTCTCCCATGTGAAAGTTATGTATGTATATATATATATATATATATATATATATATATATATATATATATATATATATATATATATATATATATTCGTACTGCATATATTTACTCCTCTGTCATATATTTGTCATGTATTTGTTTGAGCAGACTGCAGAGAAGAGCAATACCCATGCACCAGGCTCTACTCAGTCCACAAGCCATGCAAACAGTGTCTCAACAGCCTCTGCTTCTACAGGTTAGTCTAACCCTTGTCACTGCTGCTGAAATACATGATGAATTGAGACATGATGAATTTTGTTATGATTTTATACCACTGACACAATAAAACAATAAATTGAGTTTTAGTTCTAGTACCTATGAGTCATATATATTTTTTAAAACAATAATAATTCTTACAATCTTACAATAAGAAAAAAAATCCCACAAGGAAGAAGAAAATATACACACAATAAATATTAAGCTTTAAAAATATTGTTTCATTTATTCAGCTGGGATATGTCAATATAGTAACAATCACAGCCTTACTAACCCAAAATCACTTTGAATGCACAATTACAGCCAGATTTGTTTTCAGGCCAACTCTGTCCCTGTATGATAAACAGATGAAGTGGCTCATGTGGTGCAAGTCTGAGAGAGAGTTTTGGCATTAACTCTTATATTTATCTGGGAAAAGCATTGAGAGAGTGTAGGAAATGTCAATGAGTTGTAGATTACAAGGACAAATATGGTGTATATTATTGAATGACCTAATAGAAAAGCCATTGAGGTAAATCAGTCTTTAACAATCATCTGTTTCCATTCAGTTTGCGACGGGTATATATCATCAACAAAGAGATCTGCGTGCGGACCGTGTGTGCACATGAAGAACTGCTCAGAGGTTAGTTCACAGTGATTCTCTGTAACAAGATTATTTTGGTTTGTTCCTGAAAGAGGGTCCCCTTTAGCCTTTAAATTATACAAAGAACTGGAAGACAGACATAGGCATTTTAAAACCAAAAAATGACTGCTTGTCTGTTATTGACCAATGTTTCACTGTTCAGTAAAACATTTTTGTTAATCCCTCTGACGCAACTGTCTTCGCTTTTACAACGATTCTATCATGAAATTAAAAAAAAAGAAAGAAAAGAAACTCAATAAAATCAATAAAATATGTATCATATTTTGGATTATACATAAATAAGATAGAACTTTATGCCCAAAGCCTTTTCACATTGTAGTGACTCATTGTTAGTTAGTTCCTGGGACATTTTTTCCATGAGATCAGTACTCGTCACTCCCAGGTGCTGTTGCCACTAGCCACATAAAAATATAAATATTGCTTTAATTTCCTTTTCCTTCATGTGTCTGTAGCTGACCTGTGCAGGGACCAGTTCTCTCGTTGTGGCGTGGCGGCTCTGAGCGGGGGCTGTGGGTCAATAGGGGGCAGCTGTGGAAAGAGCTGTGGAGGCTGCTGAACTTCAGGGACAAAACTCGCCCGAAAACTGCCGCTGCCAAACCACTTTTGAACATGTTTTACTCCCGTGCATTAGGGATGTAACAACATTTTATGGGACTGAATTGTCATGGTATTAACCGCACAGTACAATATTTATTCAAATTTTATCGAGAAAAAAGGGAAAACTGCTCACAAAGACAATACATAATGTAAAAATAACCATTATCATTATTGTCATATATATATATATATATATATATATATATATATATATATATATATATATATATATATATGAAATATGTAACTTTTCTGGTGGATGGCCTTGAACTTATTTCTATAGATACAAGCATGTGACAGCACCGGGCCAAGTTGCAGTTAAGATTTGAGGAAAGGTACTTTTTGAGGAATAAAACACCTGTGGCTGAATAAATGCAAATTAGGATGTGTTTAATGCCATACTGTGGAACAAGTGAAGCAATACAATCTTCTGACAAAACTACTACCAGAAAAGTTACATAGTGAGTGTTCAAGCTCATTCATTGTAGCCCATTATAGTGATACAGCTGATATTGCCACATAGCCAAAGTTGTTACATCCCTAATATTCTCTTCACAGTATTGGAGACTTTTGTTCTTTTATTCATATGTTTTCCAAAGACCTAGTGTGTAATGAATATATTTACTCCGCTGACAATCATTGGTGCTACAAAACCATCACACTGGTGCTATGAAGACTATACATGCACAATGGTATTTTGTACAATATTAACCTAATGCTTTTTATTTGTGTATTTTATGTTTTAATCGCAATGATTGTTATTATAATGATGGCAACTGTGCACTGACCACTATCCAGCCATCATTTTTTAAAGGCAGATTATGGAATGTGTTTTGGGAAACAGGTGTGAGTGACTCACATCTTGTCCCAGAGCCACCTGGACTGAAGCGACTAGTCCGAAAGCTCGTTTAGCAAATACATACATCATTGAAATGTCATATGCCTCTGTACTACTGCTTTGTGAAACAGTCACTATAAGGACTGGAAATAAAACATCACTTGTCTATTACAACTTGGTGATATAAGTTCATTAATTCGGCTTTTTTTCAATCAGGTGCCAGTAGTGCCATTGGTGCCAGGAGCGTTGGAATGTGTCATTAAATGTGACATCATTGCGGCTTGTTTAGGTGAAAAAATTCCTTAGACACAAAGACAAGAAACAGGGACTTTGTCTGAACCTCCCAATTAATTAAAGTCAACAGACAATTTTCTCTTATGCTATCAAGATATCTATTTTTCTTGTATAAATAATTATTCTATTATGGAGCTAAATATACCTGCCTGTGAGAAAGACTGGTGTGGGCAGAGTTGTGTACTATACTATTAGGCTAATCCTGGCAGGTACTATTGTGCAAACCAAGCTCAAGACAGCTTTCTACATGTTGTCCAACAATATGCTCAACACATACTGACACTGTTCACTAATTTATCTACTGGGGGCTGTATAGTCATGAATTAACCAAACTAACACATGGATGTCCGTGTTGTGACTGAAACATGCAGGCAGTGCTAACCACTCTGCTACCATCCTACCCTTGTGTATGTTATTGGATTGACACAAGTTACAGTGGTTGCAGTAGTGGTTTATTTCATTAGACCCATGGTTTACATGTTTACGTAATACAATACTCTTAGAATTATTTAATATTGTTAGTGGATCAATTGTAAAAATGTAAGGCTATTAAAATAATACTAAAAAGCAGGGTTTTTTAAAACATTTTAAATTAGATACACGCTGTTTGTGCTTGATTCTCCTTCATTATAAAAAGTAGCGTTTTAAATGTTGATATAAATGTCAAGAAACTACACAGTCCATCTTTGTCATTTCCATTCCTGCATTTCGCCCAGAATCAGTCAAAGAGGATCCCTCAAAGGTTTGGGTTTCCTCCACAATAAAAAGAAGTTTGGTAGAGTTAAACCAGGATTAATAGCAGATGTTATCCTGGAGTTGGTCTGGCATCGAGACCACAGCTGCCTCTCATCTCTGCTCAGTGTAGCACTCAGTATTCATACACATAGTAGTTAAAAGCATTACAACAAGACTTTACTGAATAGTTTTTGTGTCTGCAACATTTGTGCTGAGGAGATTTTCCCTGGCTAATTGCTGGAGTGAATAGGAATAAGCTGCCTGTATTATGTAGTGGACAGTAAAGGAGTTTGGAGTGAAGGATGACGTTGCTTCATCTCCTGCTGTAGTTGCTCCTTCAGAGTGGACACCTGAGAAAAAGAATGTTTACTGAATATCTGCAATGCATTCTCACACAATGGCTGTACTCCTTTAATTTATTTATTTTTGGACTAATTATTTTGCAGAAATGAGGACACCTAGAGTGAGTTAGATGGAGTTTTGGTAGTTACAGTTTAACATAGCCTTTTGCTCATGCAGTTGATGAAAATGTGGTTTACTCATTCTGATCTGTATACATAGATGTTTTTGCATGAGATCCTAATAATAGCTTTAGTCAGTGCCTTGCCTCCATTTAGTCACTTAATTGATGCTTAAAGCAATAACTGGTTTGAATGAACCGTTAGTATTCTTTTAATCATTTACTAATAAAACCATCAAAACTTGAATCTTAATAATAATAAAAAGTCCCAATGACACTTTCCTTAATAAATATACCATGTGAATAATCCATATCTATACCTGTTCTTCCAGTCCCTTGACTCGGTGCCGGTGGGCTCTCTCTCTCATTCCCAGACTCCGCTCCATGTCCCTCAGGTTGACCTTTAACCTCTCGGTCTCCCGCTGTGCCTCGTCCCGCTGTCGGCTCAGGCTCTCACAAATACCATGAGACTGCTCCATATCTGACAGTTGGGTCTGCTCACCATATGATAAACAGAGGATGGATTAAACAGAAAAAAGGAAACATGTATTATAAAAAGTTTGACAAAGGAAAATCTATGGTCCTAGCTTCATTTTCATGATACTATAACATTTGTGCATGGGCCTCTCATATATAGCTCATGGATACAGTGATAACACCCATAATAGGACTATAAAGGACATTGGCAGACACAGACTTTATTTATATACGTATTTTAAACTTAGTTGGAGCAATAGGCTAGGCTCCAACAGCATTTAGCTTGTCTTTAAACTAAGTGTATGTTAAAATGTCAAAATATCAATATATTGTGCTGTTAGCTGCTGTATTGATATAAGGCCAGACTCTCATATTGAGAGTATGAGAGTTTATATTTATACAAATATTATATTTTGAGCTACAATTTAATTTATTTCAAGAAAGGAAACTTGTTTATGTAATACATTTCGCATAGTATTTAACGGTTTGCTGATTAAAATAGGTGTATTTCATACATTAAGTTTGTTGTGCAAGCAGTGGTTTAAAATATATGTATATATACTGTTGTTAAGATGTATTTTGGTTCTTAAAAACTGTGATATACTACAGAATATTATGTACAACATATTAATTATTGCATGTATTGCAAAATTGTGATACTATCATAATTTGTGAGTCATGCATCGTATCGAATTATGAATAATACCTGTAGAATTAGGATCTGTTGCTGTGCATCTTGAAGCTCCTGTTCAACCGTGTTTAGTGATCGGTCCAAGCGGCTTTTCTCAGCAGAGAGCCGCATGGTGCCTTCCTCAGACTTCAACTTCTGACGCTCAACCTGAACAAGATATAAACCAAATGAAGAAAGCATCTCAAAATGGGATTGTCTATGAATGCACAGTATACAGAAGGAAGGGTGTAGTTTGTACTTTGTCCAGTGTGTTTCTCAGAGCATTCTTGTCCTTCTCTAGCCTAACAGCTTGCCTCTCTGCATCTTTCTTCTCGGTCTCCAACATGGCCACTGCCCTCTGGAGGTTGCGCAGTCGATCCTCCACAGCAGAGCGCTCTGTTAGAGACAACTCCAGGCAGCGCTGGGCCTCCGATAAGCTAATGGAGCGCTGATGCAGGGTCTGAGGAGAATGACAATGTGTTCACTAATTTCTGTGTCCATGTGTGCGGGTAACTGGTGTTTTTTACAAATGTCTTAGGGTAATGGTGGTGTGTAAAAGCATCACCTCCTGCAGGTGACTGATCTCAGTCTCCATTTCCTCTCGTTTGACTTCACTGTGTTTTAGTTCACTTTGGAGGCTTTGCACTTGTTCATTGAGAGCAGCAATATTTCTTCTGCTTTCAGATAAAGATGCTCTGGTTTCATCCAGGCGCTCCTGATGAAACAAAACGCTATCAGTATCAGAGAGGGACTGGGGACACATTGAGGACCCCAGTCCCTCTCTCACCTGGAGCTGCTGCCTCTCCAGCTCTGATGCAGAGAGTGACTTTTGCAGCACTGAGAGGCGGCTTTGTGAGCTGCTCTGAGCCGCTATGGCCTCACTAACACTTAGGTTTAGAGTCGCAGCTCTCTCTTTGAGCAAAGTTTCACTTTCTTGAGCTTTAAGCAAATCCTGATTCAGTCGGTCCACCTCCCTCTGCAGCTGAGACACCCGCGCCTCACCCTCAGCAACCTGTCAAGAAGAAATAAAGAAAACCATGTAGCCACTCCACATCTCTCACTGTCTGTAAGAATGTTTCATACTGCACCTGTTTGATGAGAGCGTCGTGTCTGTCTTGGGCCAGTTGGCTCTCGGCCTCTCTGTCCCCCATACTCAGCCTCAGCCTCTGCAGCTCTCCCTCCAGACTGCGCCTCCCCAGCTCCACTCGAGTGGCCCGGGCCTCTGCTGCCTCTAGTGCCTCTCGCAGCCGCCTCCTCTCTCCCTCCAGGCGCATTTCTGCAGCCCGCTGTTTGTTAAGTTGATCCTATAATACATAATACAGGAAAAGCATTGATGGCTTCTGTTTGATTGATATATGCTCAAACATGAGTTTAGGGGAAAATAGTTACAGGAAGGTCTATAAACATGAACCTTATACTTAAAATCTCTAGGTGAAAAACAACTTTGCTGAACCTATGTCCATCAGATTGGCTGTAAGCTTTAATATGGTTGTAAAATGTAAGAAAATCTGCATAATAGTGAAAACTCCATGTCCTGTGGAGTCCTGATTAGATGCAGCCAGGGTGTGGGCCTGTGGCATATGTTGTTTTCTTATTCTAAGACACTTGGCTGCAGGACAGTGCTGCTCCACTGAGGGGCCATATGGCTGGGTCAGACCAGAACTTGCTGTACCTGCACATGTTTCCTGTCAGCTTCAGAGGTCTGCAGTGCTCGCTCCAAGTCTTTTAATTTGTCCGTCAAAGCGCGTCTCTCTCTGTCCACTCTCCGCACAGCCTCCTCCTGCTGCTGCAGAACCATCTGAGTGGAGCTCAGGCGCTCATCCACCGCACGTTTCACTAAAGTTGGGTACATAATACATTAGAAAGAGTCACATTTTAATGTAATATAATAAATATCTGACCTTCTTTGCTATCTTGTAAACTGTTTTGGGTCTGAGCCAGGCGGCTCTGAGCAGAGTCTCTTTGACCTCTGAGTTCCTCCAGTTCACGCTGTAGGCCACTCATCTGTGAGCGGACATCGTCCTGAAAATAATATATAAAATAACAATAATAAAACATTGACATAAGGGAGTTTATTCTGTGATTTAGCCTCACTCTCTCTCTTTGAGCTTCTCGCAGCTCCAGCAGGAAGTCCCTGAGTCCAGCCCTGAGTGAGTCCGAATCCAGGTCTGAGATGGAGAGAGGTGTGTCTGTTCTCTCCGGAGACACAGGACCAGATCCCAGAGTGTTGTCAGGGGTACTCGTTTGCACTTCTATTAGAAATCAAGGATAAACAAAATAATTCTATCTATTTTATATTTATATTCTCAATAGTACAGTATGATGATTTAATAACAAAATTAATATTTGGCTCTGATATTATAGCTCTACCTTTTGGTGGAGACAGAGAGGAGCGCAGAGGAGAGATGCTCTGGTGTCGGGACATAGATCCAGGTGAAGTAGAACTGCCTCCTGGGCTCCTCCCTCTGCCCCCTCTGCCCCCCGCTCCGATGCCCAGGGTGCGTGTGAGTGTGGACTGCAGATTGCTCAGTCTGAACTCCAGCTCCTTCCTGCTGATCTCAGAGCGGGACAGTTCGGCCTCTGTGGCAGCCAGTCGGCCCTGTGTCTCACTCAACTGCAGACTGGATTGGGCTGCTGCATCCTGAGCTGCCTGAGCACGGAGGGACAGGTTTTTGGCCTCATCCTGGAGCTTCTTCTCACAGCCGTGTGCCTCTTGTAGCCGAGCGGTCAGCTCCCTCTCACAGCCACGCCAGCCTGACTCAGAATCCATCAGGCGCTTCTGAGTCACAGAAAGCTACAGGACAAACAGTTTCTAGCTGTTACTTTTTTCTTGGCGACATTCAGTGAGTGTTTGTGGTACTCACTTCTTTTTTCAGGGAATCTCTTGTTGATTCTGCTTCCATTAACTTCTGTTTGAGAGTGAAGACCTCTCTGCTCTTCTCCTCTTCTCTTTGCTCTTCTAGTGAAAGGCGAGTCTGCAGCTCTGCCACCTCTCTACTCCGCTGCTCCTTCTCTGCTTCCAAAACCTTCAACTAAAGCAAAAGAACATTAAAAGTTAACGGCTCCTTACAAATGACATATCATATATGCATTTCGAAAGTCACACATGAACATAGGGGGCACCCTCACCTGTCTGCGTAGTTCCTGTAGCTCGCGCCGGGCCTCCAGTCGTGACCGCTCCACATCCCGGAGGCAGCTGCGCAACTCCATCACCTCCTTCTGCGCAGATGACAGATTTTCCTCCAGGACTACCAGCCGCTGCTCCTTCTCCTCACATTGTCGCCTCAAGCTGACAAATACAAACCATATACACTATTTTTATAACAAAATCTTTTTCAAGGGATAAAGCTTAAGTGCTAAATCCAAGAAATGACGACAATCATTAAAAATGTTTAAGGTTGAATACTAAACGGTCTGAGGAAGGTTATATGCTGAAACACATGGGCATTTACTTGTGTGCTGTGGCCTAATAGAAAAACCTATGTGAGTATATATATTTTTATTGACTGAAATGAACACCCTTAAACATTTTTTTAAATAAAAGCTCAAATATATTTTGTACTTTTAAATCTTGACAAGTCTATTAATGCGATTTATTTAGTCACTGTTCAGTCAGTCTCTGATGCTGACTGACATATGACTGACTGGTTGTTACATGAATATGAAATGTCATATCCAGGGACACACAATAATTTTATTAATAATAATAATAATTAAAACCTTAATAATTAAAAGCTAATCAATACAAATAACATTCGGCACCAATATAAATACACGGATTGAATTACAGACCATTGAAAAGTGTTATCTGAAGCATACCTGATCCTGTCTGTCTCTGCACTCCTCAGAGTCTCTCGGAGCAGAGCGTTTGATTGGCTGAGAGTGTCTCTCTCTTTGGTGATGTCACCGAGGTTGCGGTGCTGCTCAGTCACTTCTCTCCTGAAGTTATCAACTGAATTCTGAGTTTGGTTCAGACGACGCTCCGCCTCCAGTAAATGGTGTCTGAGCTGGTCCCTGGTCTCCTCACTGGCCAAGAGAGAGGCCCTGCACTGCTCCAGCTGAAGGAAAAAATATGGAAATTATTATAATTGGTAAACAGGACACAACTTACTCTTTAATTGTATTGCAATTGCTTAGTTTTGCATTTATAACTTTTTAAAATGTTTATACTATTTCACTATTTACATTCATTTAGCTTAATCAATTAATTGCTTTCTTTTATCAAATTGTTGAAGATCTTTAGACACAGAAACAATTTAGGTTGTCTTTTAGGTTGTCTTTTCCTCAAGGGATATTTATTATGAAGCCACAAAAAAGTTAAAACCGGGTACAACAGCTCCCTGCTCTCATCCCGTGCCTTGCTGCAGTAAAAAACACACTCCAGTGTAGTTCAACACACGGTCCGACCAGCGCATGAGCAAACCAGTGCGGGGTGTTCATATTCAATCAGTGACACCATAAAAACAATAGAGGGTGTCAGTGAACCTCAAAACAATAATGCTTAAATTAATTCACACTGATCATGTATAAGTGAAAATGTATTAATCATGTTTCTCACAATATGATAGGCAATTAACTTTTAACCACTCACTTGATGTACTGTATTATATATTTCCAAGCAATTTTATAGATAATGATCATAAACAGTTGTCAAATATTGCATTAAAACAAAAAAGAGACTTGCACAATTTTTTGAAAGTTGTTGACCATACTTCTGTAGGTTCTCAGATGGCACTTTATCTCTTCCACAGCTGATTGATCATATTGTTTATATTTATTAAGGCCATAATAGCAATAAATTGATTAAACTATTAAAACATAACCTCCCTAATTTGTACCTCTCTTAAAGTCAGTTCAGCCCTGGACTGGAGGTCTGTGGACATCCGCTGAAGTCCGCTCAGCTCTCGTTCACGAGCAGAGGCTGAATTCTCGTGCTGACACCGGAGATCCTGCAGTTCAGCATTCAGGGCTCCAACTCTGATCTGTAGAAGTACAACACAAAGTTAAATGTCCTACTCAGTAATAATATAAAGTGGCAAGGTTGTTTTTCTGACCTGCTCCTGTTCTTTGCACAAGGACACCTCTCTGGTCAACTTCTCTGCCTCTAGTAGTGCAGTAGACAGTTCAGCCTGTAGACCTGAGACTTTCTCACACAGAGCTGCTTTCTCTGCCTCCTTTAATGAGAGAGCCTAGGAACAGCACAACAGAGTGGTTCACAATACATAAAACTACTACTTCCATTAAGAGAAGACTAACACTACTGTTGACTACTGCTACTAGGGATGACAGTGACTCAGAGATTAGAGCAGTGTTTCTTTTTTCCGGAGACTCATATTTTAAAAGTCACAAACCTTCGCGATTCAAGACAATAGACATTATTCTTAGATCACAAAATAGGTGGATTTGATCATTATTGAACATTAATGAGGATATTTTATTGTTGACTGAGTGATTGTGTCTCTCTGAACAATTAGTAATACTCATGTTTTAAACAATGAAAAACAGTAATTGACCAAACAATAAAAGGTACCCATAAGTCACCTATTTGGACATTAAATGTAGCCCATTTCTTTCTTTTCAACATTCAATTGAACCAGCAATATTAATTACAAAAAACATAAAATTAGAAATTATAGAAAACATGTCTTAACATTTCAACCTCTATGCAGACTGTGACAAGGCGACCCAAAAAAAATCTCTTGCGACCCACCTGAGGGTCACGACCCAGTCTTTGGGAGACAGTAGGTTAGAGCACTCATCCACTAATCCACTTGGTTCTGTCACTTTATCCTTAGGCAAGACGCTCCACTCACGTTGCCTAGTATGAATGTGGTAAATGTGTATGTGATGACATCTCATTTTACCCCACAGTGGCTGTGGCTTTTTTGGGGGGGATATTTCTATGAAATTACCTCAGCTTCCTGTGCTCTTGTGTCTAACCTGTTGCTTGTCGGTCTCAGCCTGCAGCAGACACTGGTCCCTGTGGTGCTGGAGGGTTCTCAGTTCCTCGTGTAGTTCCTCTCTTCGACTCTGAGCTTTAAGCAGCTGCTCCTCTGTGTCCTGCCTCAGTTTCCTCATCGATGCTTCATGATCCATCAACAGGTTGTGACGTAAAGCTTCCTGGAATATAAAAGACAAAAATATTATTCTGATATTCATATTGAAATTTTTCATAACAAGCGTTTGGCTTAACAAGGTACAGTGTCACCAGGACCCTGGCTAAACATAATCTAACCACTAACTTGGGCTAAAGCAGAAAATATCAGGTCTATACTTGCCTCACAAAGGACTACAATTAATTCATGATTTTATTTTAAAAAATCCCCAGAAAACAGACCTAAAACTATTACTGTAAAATTTTGAGAACTAATGAACATTATGGAAAACAGGACATTACACTAATTAAAGCAAAGCAGAATTGTCAGTTCTACCTTTGTCAGAAAGGATATCAAATGGTGACTTGTACTAAAACGTCCAAGGAAATGTAAAAGGTTGCAACAATGTGAAAACCACTTAGTGCCTACTGCTCACTTTCTCTGAGATTAGTCTCTCCACCTCCTCCTGGTGTTCAGAGATGGTTTTGCGAAGGACCAGTTGGGCTTGGGTTTGGACGCTGCTTAAAGCCTGAGTTAAAGTCTGCTTTTCTCTTTCTAATTGAGCCACAGCAGTCTCCCCATCAGACCGAGCACGTTTTAATTCAGCTGAAAACAAACAAGAAACATTAAAGATTCACAAATAGAAATCTATGGTATTAAACTTATTTTTATTTATTACTAATCAAGGACAATGACCATAAACATTTCTGCAAGCAGGTGAGAACACCAGGTCAAGATACAGGTAAGGAGAGGCAATCTGGCACATAGTAACAATCCATGATTTTGAAGAGGATTTTGAGCAATAATAAATAAATACAATATCAGTGTAAAACGTTGAATGCCATACTGTGGAACAGTTCAAGCAATAATAGCTCCAAGAGACGGGGGCATACCCTGAAAGTTACATTGTACACTTTAAAGTAAAGTAAAAAGTAAATATTTAAATGTATATAGGTTTCTAACAGTGCATAATACTTTTAATACTTTTTCCCTACTGTCCACTCACCTGCTGTAGTCTCTGATCGGACTCTGAGTGTTTGGTTCTCTGTCTCCAGTTGTTTATTGAGGGACTCAATTTGAACAAACTGCTGATGAACCTCGAACAGACTGGTCTCCAAAGCCTCTCTCTCAGACCTGAAATACATACATATAAATACATAGGACCATATTTTTCTGACAATTTGAACATTTGTTTATGAAAATATAGGTGTTAAGCTTTTAAAAGTATAATTATTGAATAAATTGGATGACTTTTGGCTATATATATATTTGCTGCCCATATCCAACCAGGAAGCTAAATTACAAATTTATAAATCAAAATTGTCAGACTAGAGAAACTAGGCAAAATTTTTGCCAAATATTTTATTTAATTTATAATGCTACATAACTACATTTTATGAAAAAAATTTAATCTTTTAAGAAAACCCACTATACACAAGAACAACATGCAAGTTCCTCACCTAGTGACTACATATGGCCTGGAAATGTAACCTTCTTGCATTGACCACTAATCACTCTGCTAAGCCAGCACCAAGAGTAAATGTAACTCAGTGCACTAATGATCAGAACTCACCTAAATGCAGACAGTTCCTCAGACAGTAGTGCATTTTCTCTTTCGGAAGCTGCCAGTTGAACCACCAAAGCTGCTTTATCCCGGGCCAGTTCAGCGCGCCCCCGTCCCACCTCCTCCAGGGCCACCTCGTTCCTCTGCCCCTCTCCTCTGACCAAACTCAACTCTGAACTGAGGGATGTCACCTCCCCAGAAAGCTGTCAACACAAAGCAAGGTTTGCTGCTTTATACTTTTTACTTTTATTACTGTTTTCAAAAAATGTGTTTTACTATTATTAAAAATTTTTAATATATTATGTGACCAGTTTCATGCAAATATCTTAATTTACTTTTTCTCTCAGTTTAAATATTTTTGCTTAAAGATTAGGTTTAAAGCAGATGTTGGCGTTTGACAAAATATACCTCTAAAATGTATCATATTTTAAAATAATTATGATCGATATTTATATTATATATTTATTTATATTGTGTCTTGAGACATAATTCACTGTAAGAGCATATTGTAAACTTTAAACAAATATAAACAAAACAAAAAACAAACTGAAATCTCTCAGCTAGCCAAAAGTTTTTAAGAGTGAATACGTTTTGACACTCATCCAAGTAGCTTCTTCAGTTCTGACAGGGTTCTGGAAAGTCACAGCCTTCTATTGATCTGATTAAAATAATTCAATTTTCTTTTGCTATAGAAAATACCTGGATTACACAGACTACTATATACAGTGTACTCCTGATGCCCCACCTGTGTGACTCTCTCCTGCAGTTTAAGCCGGTCCGCTTGCAGACTCTGTAGCTCCGTCTCCATCCCTGCACGGCTCAGCTCTGCATCATGAAGAGATTGTTGTAGAGTTATTCTCAAAGAGTCCAGCTCCAGACGACCCTGCTCCAAACGCACAAGTTCATCTCTGATTGTCAGCTTCTCTTGTTCTGCTTCACGCTTCTGAGTTTGGAGGAGGGACTTTTCCTCCTCGAGCTGCATGAGAAAAGATAAAGCTTTAATGAGCATGTGAACAGTTACACACACAGAGGAATCACTGCAAAATGTGCCTGGAGTGCAGACTATTAAGATTTATTTGAGCAGTAGTATAGATGATTAATGGGAACTAGATTATTTATTTATTTACAGAAGTAATGAAACAAGTTAGCTAATCAAAGTCATTTAAGCAGATAAAATCAAACCATCAAACATGTTTGCATCAATGTCACACAATAATACTCTATATAAAATGAATTGGATTGCGTCAGACATTGCAATTCAATGCACTGTATTAAAATGAGTACAGGTGCAAGGATGTATTGCCTGGAGGATGTACGAGTTGAGATCAACTTTGTCCTGGGTTAAACCCTCGTTTAAGTTTCCCATTTTTGTCAAAGAGTCTCTGAGCGCTGCCTCCTCAGACTGTAGTTTGTTTAACAACAGGGACAGCTCTGCATTACGACTCTCCGCCTAAAACAAAGACATACATAAAAATATATACCAAAAGTAAAAAGATCAAATATGTGACAAAATAATCTCTTTACTTGAGCAAGAGCCTTGGATAGTTGGTCCTTTGCTTGCTCCAACAGTTGCCTCTCTACCTCCCCTTGCTGGCAAGTCTCCTTTATTACAGACAGCTCTCCTTTCTGGGCTGAGGCACGACTCTCACTCTGCTCCCATTGTTTCTGTCTGCACATGGAAAATACAGACACACATTTATTTATATATATATATGTGTATGTATATATATATATATATATATATATATATATATATATATATATATATATATATATATATATATATATATATATATATATATATATATATACATATCATCTGTGTATCACTCACTCACAACATCACATACAATAAATTATCTATTAGGAAATCCAGGATGCTAGTTTAAATTAAATTAAATGTCTTAAATAAGACTTGTTTTCAATATCTTTTCTAACTGTTTTCAAGATTCAAGTTTTTAATCTTAAAATAAGAAAATAAATCTACCCTTGGGGTCTGTGCAACATTGTTTCATTCCTAATTGGCATACAATTTTGCTTAAAATGAAAACCTATGTATCAAAACATGTAGAAAATCATCTTGAAAGTGTTAAAAAAGCTCCATCAATTAAATCTAAAATTAGTCATCAAGTCATTACAGATAGATTACTATTCTGAACAGTCATTTAAACAAATGCATATTCAGTTTTAATGATATTAAAATGTAGATACTGGATACTACTTTCTTCTTTCTATCAGTCAGTGTTACAACTTACATGCGCTGTGCCTCTGCCCGGGCATGGTCCCTCTCCAGTGCTGTGACCTCTCTCTCTTCTCTGTCTGTGTCCCGTTCACGCTGCACTGCTGCCACGGACAACTGCAGCTTCTCACATTCCATCTGCAGCATCTGTGCAGTGGACTGAGCGGACTGTAAGGACTTCTCCAAGCTCACCTTGTCACTACAGAAAACACAATACAGTTGTGGTTAGGCTGGAAATAAGGCTGCATTTCATAAGTAAGCAACAAAAACTGAAACATTAATACTAGACTTAACAAGGACAAAAATACAACCAACAGGTATAAGATTTCTAAAAATGTGATGTACATATTTACAGACTACTACTACATTGCATGTTGTTAATTAATGGTTACCATTAATTAGTCGTTGAAATAGTGACAATTAATATATTTAAGAAACAGAAAGAGAACAAAATGTGCATTCATATTCAGGCTAGATGGGAAAAAAACATGTTTGATATTCAGTTTTGAGAATCCCCATATTTCTTGAAGCACCTACCTGGCCAAAATGTCTCTCTCTTGTTTGACTCTGTCCCTCTCCCTCTGCACAGCCTCCCTCTCTTTCTGAGCACTGTCCCGTTCCCGCTGCAGCGACTGGTTCTTCTGCTCCAACTCTTTTTTAGTCATATCAGAATCTGAGAGCTGCTTTCGGAGTTGCTGAATCGAAGACTGAGCTGACTGCAGTCTCCCACGAAAATCCTTCATAGACAGTGTTTGAAACATTAAATCTAGGCCACTGTAGACAGGACTTCCTGACTAAATACATTATATACAATTTTGTATCTTTCATTATGTTATATTGCTTCTTATTAAATTTGTATATTATTATTTGTCCAGGAATTTGGCAACACTGTTTAGTCTATACTAAGAACTGAATATTTACTCTAAGATAACTGAAGTTGTCTTTTCTAAACTTAAGTATTAAAATAGTCTGTTGTTCACACTGATAAAATTAGATGATTAAATATTCAATAAAGATTCTGAAATATATTAAATATATAGAAGTATCACCTGCAGCTGTAGCTGTCTGTTGGTGACTGCAGAGCGCAGGGCAGAGAGCACCCCTTCAGGCAGGAGCGTCCCAGAGGAGAGACGTGAAGGAGAGGACAAGCGACGAGAGGCTGAGGGTCGGTGGACCAGAGCCAGGAGAGGGGCTCCCGGGTCCTGGTCTGCTTCTGAGGAGGACTCCCCATCTGTCAACACAACCTGGAGGAGAGGGCGATATGGATGCAACATAATAGTATCCCCAATACATTAGAGAGAAGTTTTAATCCGCAATACAGTAAATCTCTCATAGAGTTATACAGGCCTCTGCCCTCGGTCAGATATACAAACATAGATTCCTAAAATGTTAAACTCTATTATTTGTTAAGGACCGGCACCACAAACTTGCCATCTCAGCCTCATGGCTTAAAGTTCAATCAGATAATTAAGGCTAAAATTTGGTACCAATGTCAAAAATCAAATTCCTCCATCCAGCTTTTACAGGTAAGAAATCCTGACTATGTCTAGGCTGGAATCTGTTAACAGATTCTGATAACTGAAACTGTTGTGATGTATTTAGATTCTTGTTTTGTGGATATTGTGTTTAACATAACAAAAATAATTTGTGTATAACTAAATGAATAACTGTGCACCTGAGCGATGTCTCTCAGCGTGTCGACCAGTATCTCAATATGTGTCCTCACTGTTTGCAGCTCAGTCTCATCAGAACCACTCTGCTCCTGTGACACAGTGCAACAGGTCACTATGAAACATGAATAAGTGAATTCAAATTTAAAACACTTAAAGTAGCATTACCTCAAGTCTTCTCGTAAGTGTCGCAATTTCTCTTTCCTTTTCATCTATTTGGCTCCTGAGCCTCTCTCCCTCGCGGACAGATTCAGACAACCTAATGAACGACCATCAGTTACAGAAGGTATAAGCGGCACTGTTTTTATGGTGTTAACACATTTCTAACAGCACAATCAAAGTGTCACAATAATACCGTAAAACAAAAAATGGCTTGAGGGATTTACAAAAATCTCACAATAATATCTTAAAAATTTCAAATAAGCTATGCCTTGCTATGCTGCAACAGGTGGACAATAAAAATCTGAGGAAAAACAGTAGACAATGGTCTTTTGTAACTTTTTAGTTTTCTCAATATTAATCCCTTTGAATATAACAGAAATGATGGCACCTTTTTTTTAAGAGCTTTTTTAAAGAAAAAAAAACAACAAGTATTACTAAAATATTCTTAGCCTACACACAAAATTGCAATTAATATAAATAGCATTGTGTGAGTTTTGGATATTGTCATATCCTCACCAAAAACTGAACCACACCACAGCTTTTTTGTGTTTTTTTTATTGTGTAAACTGTGCAGCTCAGGTACCTGATGTTGAGTTCACTCCTCTCTGCATCTGTCCTCGTCTGCAGGTTCATCGTTTCTGTGACCCTCTCTCTTAGTTGCTGCTCTAATTGAAGCCTCAGAGCCATCTCTCTCTCTAGAGCCAGGGTTGCACCTCCCTCTCGACTGACCAGGGATGCAGACAGACCTGCACAAGACAGCTGGGCCGAGTGAGACACGCGGCACAGCTCATTACGCATGTCTGACAAGTCTCTGGAAAATGAAGATTAGGAAGAAATAAACATTATATACCTCTTCAAAAATTGGTACATGTAAGTAGTACACCTGTGTAAGCAATACACAGGTGTACATGGGGGTCCTCTGCAGTTTGAGTATTTGTTTAATTTATTTTATGGATTAGGTAGTTATTTAAGGGTTATATAACCACCTAATCCATGGTATGGTTAGTAGTCTCATTGTAAACCTTGTTTAGACCTAATTTAGGCTTTATATAGTCTGGGTTAAGATCTGGTGCAACTCTGAAAGCCAAATATTATCTTAGGTGGTAATTAGTGTTAAAAGTTTGAAAATCACTGGTCTAAAAATATTATAACAGTTCAGTACCTTTCAGTTGAGGTCTTCATTTCACAGATGTGTCTCCTGAACCAGACCACCTGCCTCCATAACATGAGCAGCCGACTGTGCTCACTGCTGAAATAACTTTGGAAAGACTGAACACAAAATACAGTTGTTAAAACCCCAAGATAATGGCTCTATAAGTGTTGGAGTGTCCTATTTCAAAAATCAGCCCATACCTCCTCCTCTCTCCTCCAGTCAGACTCTCTTTGCTCTAGCTCTTCTCGGGCTTTGGTCCAGTCCACAGTCAGTCTGCGAATGTCTTGGCTCAGAGCCTCGTTTGCCAAACTGGCCTGCTCCAACTGCTCCCTCAGCATGGCGTTCACAGCAGAGAGACTACTGCTCCTAAACACAAACCATGTATTCGAGGAAAATATTTTGACAGGGCGAAAAGTGTAATTTTTAACATAGTCACCTCTGTTGTTCTTCCTCTAGATGGATTAATGCTTCTTCCAAGTTGTTGTTAGATTCATCTTGATGGTGGCCATTTGAGGTTTCACTGTCACTCTGCAATGTAAATGAAACTATACTTAACAGATAAAAATATATATATATATATTTTGCCCCCAGAAAGTGCTTCTCTGTGTCCACCAAGAACCTCAATTGGATTATTTTGCTGTTATGAACTGCTATACAAATAAAGCTTGACTGATCGATCTTAGCCTTTTCAACCTAACATACAACCTTGAAACTAGTTGAAACTAGTATCATTTTAGCTTAATTTTTATTGTTTCACTCTTCAACACCAGTGGCATTTTTGTATGCTCAGAAATCAAGATTGAATTACTTTGAATTTAACTAGTACCTAGTAGTTTAACAAGAAGACCATCACTTACACTCAGTTTGCGCTTTTCGAGTTCTGAGTTTTTCTCTTGCAGCACCTGCTCCAGATCCCCACACCTCTTTTTGTATTGAAGAACCTACAACCACAAGAAACTGTAATATTTTTGCTTCTTTGATGTCACACATTATGAATACCTTAATAAAAATATTTACCTTTGCTTGTAGTTTCTGCACCAGCTGAGCCTGCCTCTGCTGCCCCTCCTGGTAGGCAGTGAGTTTGCGTTTGTATGAAGCCTGTTCCTCGTCCAGTCGTCTGCGCAGGTCCACATTCTGTTGGACCAGGCTTCTGGACTCTGAGGTTTGCTCCCCATCACTGGAGTCAAACCGCAATGTCTGCTCAAGCTGTGGGTTTGAGAGAAACATTGAAAAAACAAATGTCTAAGTCAGTGCAGTGTTACAATGAGTTCATAGCAGTTAACCAACCACAACAAAGTGTGAACTTTTAGAAGAAGATGATTTTATTTACCTCTATAGAGCAACAGAAAATACAAAGTGTACATCATGATAAAATGGAGTGCTATATATTGCACTACCCTACCTTTTTGGAGATGTTATTGATTTGCCTACAATGTTCCACAGAATGACATTAAATCAGGCCAGATCTATAGAGAGGCGAGCCTGCTCACAGCAAGAAGGGATGTTTTTCAAGGTATGTTTTGAGCAATAAAGCATCAGTAATTGAATAAATGCAAGATAGATAACTTGAATGCCATTCTGTAGGATAATAATATCTCCATGACAACAAGCAGGTTGTCATGGAGCACCAGAAATGTTACATAGTGCAGCTTTAACATAAACCTACCAATTAAAGTCCTATATATATTAAGGGGTGTTCTTATCCAAGCCATGAGCAAAAACGAGTTAACTTTTAGCCGGATGCCCTGCCTGGCCAATACCTGAATCTGGCAAATTCTTTCTAAACTTGATTGATCTCTTCCACTGGGACAGTTACAATGCCTTTGTTTAGGCCCTTCCTCAGCCCCCCTCAGCTCACTCTGAAGCCCCTGTTTACTGTCACCATGGGAGACAGATGCTATGGTAACAGTTCATTTCAGTTCCATTCCACTTCATATCGCCGTGGAAACCACCAAATCTCAGACAAAGACGAAGCACAAAAACAGTCAGATAGTAAAAGGTGAATGTCTTTTTACCATTTCCACTGGGAGAAATGTAAATCATGCTACTCTATTGTCAAGCTAACCTATTAAAATCTGTTTAAGTGGCATTCATTTTTAGGTTTAGTCTCACCCTCTCGCTGATAGCACTGTACTTGATGGCGAGTTCATCCCTGTCTGCTCTGCTATGGGCAAGTAAATCCTCAAGTTTGGACAGTTCTCCTTGAAGCACACGATTCTCCTCCTGTAGAGACATGACTGACGACATGGTGCCTGGTGCTGGGAGGAAATACAAATTTATTTAAATGAAATAAGCTATAACAAATGTGTTATATTTGACAAACTGACAGTTATATAGTTGTAGAAGTGCACATACTGTTATCACTGAGGTTCTTAGTGACAATCTCTCTGACTCGAGCCGGCAGACCTGTTGGAGGGGCATCTGGTGAAGGGCCCCTGACAGTCAGCTTCTCCTCAGATAAAACACTCTCTTCCAGTTTCTAAATTGCAAATTTAAAAGTACAAAGCAAAAACTAATCTTAGAACTGATAGTAGAATTGAATTTATAATAAGGTTTAAGCAATGTGTAAATATCCCTTTATGGTGGCATACATTGAGCCCACGAATACCAAAGCCCATCAACGTGAGAAAGACCTCACTACTTACAACCACACAACAATAATATAATGGTAATTGGATGATTATGATGTCCCACAGGAGCAGGTGCCAAGCAGTCACTCCACAGGCGCTGTATAATTAAAATTACTTCTCACACAATGCATACGTACAGAAGCCTGAGCGCAAATGAGCAATAATTTGTACAAATTACCAACTGGTTGCCTAAAACTTACCTGAATGACAGACTCCAGTTTGTTAGAGTCGCTGTCTGGAACAGCCGTGTTTTCCTTGGTGCTCATTGCAACGCCAGCAGACTAACAAATCCCCCAGAGAATAGGATTAACTCCAAGTGAAACTACGTATTCAAAGTTTAAAAACAGCATCACTGTTCAAAGAAAATTGTGTAAAAAAAAAAAAAAAAAAGTTCTGTGGCCTTCATAGCAGTAAGAGTGCGTAAAGTTAAAGGGGCGTACACGTACCGCTTGCCTCTTTGCTCCCAGAAAAGCTCAGATTGAGGACAGCAGCAGGATTAGCAGGTTTTAAGACGCGCAGCCCTCCTCCTCCACCTCACTCATACTCTCACTATCTGCATAGAGAGGTGATACACACCACTGCTGCTAAGGGGGTAGGGGAAGTAAGGAAGTCTGGATTAAACACTGTCCCTTACTAAAGCACATTATTTTTAGTGATTAATTATGGTGGGATTATGCCTGCAGACAGAAAAAAATAAAATAGCCTATAGTAATATGCTATTACTGTAATTTGCACAAAGAGGTCCAAAGTAGGATATTTTTTATAATGAATTCATGAATTTGACAATTATGCTATTAATTATCTCAAGTATACCTATGGCTATGCAGTGAAATGCAAGTTTAAATTAATTGATTAAAAAGAGGTTTGTTGCAAGAGCTGTAGTTGTGTTTGATTGCCATAGTTACGGACAGACTGATGTGACCAGACCCCCATCTTTAACGCCCACCCAGCCAACTACTAACCAAAACTAGGACGCAACCAAAGGCATTCGAGTGTTGAGTAGACAATACTCACACTTGTTGCTCCTACAATACCATAAATCAAATAACTCTGAACTGGCTTGCTTCTGTCTATTAAATCCTGCAGGACAACGGGCGCACATCTGTTTAATACGTCCTAATAAGACATGTCCAACTTTTAAACCCGCTCAGTTCTGCGTCAGCGAGTGGAGGCGGCAGGAGGAGGAAGAGGATGGGGAGAAGGGAGAAGTCCACCAAGCTTGTGTTAGCCTAGCATCATTCGCCGCACGCATCCAAATGTATGAATAAAATGGTATATGTTTATGCCTACACCAGAAGAGATGGTAAACTTCTACTGTTTGTCGCAACGCAGGACATCCATAACACAACCCTAAAGGAACCGAGATTTACGCATTGACTGAAGTGGCAATCTTGGGCAAAGGCAGCGAAATTATACACTTCCTCTTCATTTCTGATCTTACCTTAAATTATGGCCCCGTTGCACGACTGCCTCTCTTGTATTCGTCAGTCACTGAGTGTTACTAATACTCAAATAAGAGTCCTAGTTGCAGAGCCATCACCAGCGGCCCCGAGTAGGGTCTACTTCTCCCAGCTCACCCATGCTTTTTCCGGGGAGGGACTTAGATTCAAACATAGAAGCTGGCAGCAGTTTACAGTAGGAGGATCATCATGATGTGATGGACAATTCTATCTGGAGAAATAATCTGATATGCACCATGAAACTAGGGCATGTACCAACAATAAATTTGGAATGCACTCGTACAGTATTTAAGAGGAATGAAGGCTTGAAATGTCCCCCTTATTCTCTTTACTTGCAGATTGGGATAATGTTATCTCAGTGATGTTTGTTTATTATTGTCAATGGATACCAAACAAGAGGCAAGTGCAAGTGATATCTGGGTGTAGTTAATTACATACAAAGTAATTACATACAAAGTAATCTGTTGTATGACAATGTAAAAGTCCACAAGCTTTATATGAAACATTGTTATTCCCTTTTTGCAATAAAACTGTCAGTGTTTGTAATATACAACAGAAAGACCTCTTCATTTGTAGCAATACTGAGTTACCCCAATTATATTAACAGAAGGTAACAAAACAAAAACAAAGGCAGTTCACAAGATATAACAAGAGTTTAATGAAATATATAGTTTATTTACAACATGATAAAATTATATAATTTTCTTAGAGTAATCTTGAAAGGCACTTAATTGATTGTTCTCAAAAGACACTTCAAATTGGTTAAAAGCCACAAAAACAAAAGAAAAAGAACATATTTGATCAATGTAGACAAATACATGTAGGTAAGGCGTTATAATTCCTATTTTCCTACAAAATATTTTAGTATTTGACAGTGATTTGGTGATTTCGAGAAATACATTCTCAGATTTGGATACACGTCAAAAAGTAGACTATAAATAAAAGATGCAATTATCACTGTTGCAGGAGAAATTGTACGTCTGCCATAAAAGAATAAATGACTATAAAATAAAAGCATTACTAAGCTGTGACAGAGACAAAGATGAAAAACAAAACAAAACAAAATTCATTTTCTCTTAAATTAAACTACATACTGATTCCCTTCAAACATTAGAAAGTGGACAGGTCATGATCAGACCTGCCAAAGTGTTAATATGGGATATGTAAAAAAAAAATAAAAATAAAAATCTGTACATGTTTATGGAGTTGTTCAGCAGTGTGTTGTGAGTGTTTTGATACAAACAAGTGCATGTCCAGTTTCCTCTGTCACCTTGTCCTAGGAATGTATGGAGCCCGAGTGTGTGCATGTATTTGTAACAGGGCTCAGCTAAACTGCACCCATCCAGACTGAACAGGGTCTTTACTGGAGCTGGGGAGGAAAATGGAAAGTGGTGATCAGGGAGCAAAAAACAAAACAAATGAGCACATGTCATGATGGAAGAATACTAAATCTATGCTAAAATCTATACTAAATCAAAATTTGAAAATGATGAAAAAGTGACACAGACAAAGAATGAAACTTGAAAGCTTCACTCGTTGTGTCATGAGTCTACATAATATCTGGATCTGACTTTCTGAAATGAAAGACAAAAAATATGGAACCTTTTCCTGATATTCACATTTTTTGAGATGTACTAGTACATGTCTTACTTGGAGCCTGCTGATGCAAAATCTCCCCATAGGTCTGAGCTGGCCTGAGGTGCATTGGAAACAGGGGAAGCAACGTCTAGAAGAGTGGCTGAAGAAACATATGTAATTAATACCACCATTTAATTATTAATAGTCAATTATTATCATGTCATTTAAATAATGTTAAATATCCACAAATCAGATAATTGATTTTGGTGGGCATGTGAATTTAGCAGGTGTATACATTAATTTTCTTCCTCTTAGTCTTATTTGAGCTGTATAATAAACATGATACTTTACTTTTTTACAATTAGTAGGTAAAAATAGCACAAAATAATGATTATAAATTTGTCCCATCATAAATTTGTCAAAATATTTTCACAGATGAATTAATAATTCTAACGCTAAGGACCCTGTATCTTTTTAAATATTCAAACAGAGCCATGTTCCTCACTCATGGTTTAAAATTATGTTTTGGGAGTTGTAATTACCAGTGTTGGTTTGGACAACTGGAGCGGAGTGTTGACTGACAGGAGGCGGGATGATGCCTCCTCCTACTTTGGCCCCAGGTGGAGGGGGCAAGAGACCCCCACCCGCAGGCCGTGATTTGGCTGCACCTCCATCCTTTTTCTTTATGTTCTGTCACAAAGATTGCTATTGAGTATTTACTTGATCTTATTATTTATCATGACTAATTAATAACTTAATGCTTACTCCAATGCTGATCTTAATCGTCTGTCCTTCTTTAAATCCCAGATCAAGCTTTGGTGCATTACTTTGGGAGGCTTCTAGTTTTGCAAGTTCACCTTCTTGTTTCACCCACCTTTGAAAATACACACAAGCATCAACTACTACTGAAATGATTCAATTATTCAATTCAATTTGCACTGTGCAAATGACTTCATATTCCACATTAGATACTCAGTAATAGAGAAAGCTTACTTAAAATGGTCTTGTAATGCAACGTTGAAGTCGAATGAATCTCCTCTATCAGCAAAACCAACTCCAATAAAAGCATGACGCCCTTAAAAATATATCATAATAGTCAGGAAGTCCTGCACTAACTTTGACATACATTTGAAAGCATGCTTGGAACAAAAATGTTACTCTCACCATTGCCATCATCTATCCGGACCACAAAATATCTGCTCGAGTCTGTCACAGCTTCAACTGCAACACCTGGATACTGATCAACTGGTGCTTGTGCAAACAGCTCTCCTGTTTACCACACATAGACCAGAGGCAATATAAATAATATGTTAAATCTGGTATAAGACTTAGCCAACCAAAAATGACTTAAATAACAAAGGTTAGAATTATAAGGCCATAGCTGACTTTTTGGTGAAAATTTAGTTATTCATTTATTCATGTTCATTTTATATGTGCAAAAATATTTCCGTTATGCTCTATGAGTGGTTGTAACTTTCACCTTCTGTCTGTGTTCTGGGTCGTTCTAAGTGGACAACATATCAAGTTCTTAATATTATACATGGAAGACACACAGGAATATATAGCAAAAGGTATTACTGATTATGCATTATTATTAGTATTATTCTTTTACCTGTGTTCTTGTCCTCTAGTTTGATGAAAGCCATTTTGCCCTTTGCTGTAATTTTCATCCTTCCACTCCATGCAGGTTCGTCTAGTTTCCAGTCTGCAGCCCTGGAGAGGCATATATTATTCATACCACACACACATGAAGTTGATGAAGCAGTGAATGTGGTTAAGCATCACAAATCTACTTTTCAAAAAAGAGGAAGTGAAATTCTACTGTAGACTTGTCCTCCCCAATTTTAAGGCAGTCTGATTGTGTAAATGCCATTCAATACGTATAAAACTTTTATAAGCTTGTATTTTTGTAGCTCTATTAAAAAAAACTTTATGTCTAAATGATGAGGTTTTATTCATTTTATTTCCACAAACGAGACTAGACAGTGGCATAGACTGGGGCCATCTGGCACCTGAGCCCACAGTACGCGCATTGACCAGCCCCTCTCTTGATCACATGATGTTCCCAAATATCGAAATGTGAATAAAATTGACCAATTTAACATCGAGTAGTGCAAAACGGTTCTGTCCAATAATTGATATGACGAACAGTAACAAGCATTGACTGGCCCAGTGATAGTACTCGTGATAAACTCAAGAGTAGTTGGATAATAGGAGGCTGCCTGTTGAATTAGCTGACAGCGTACTTGTCACCGTCACTCTTATGTTTCAGTATTTTTAGTAGCACCCATCTTACCGATATCCGCGATTAGAAGCCCTTGGTGGAATGCGATAGACATGAACTTCGGGCTTCACGCATAAAATAGACTCATAACTACTGTCTTCTGCCATTTTATGAAGTTTTACCAACTACAAACAACTTCCGACTTTTTATCACCTCGCCTGGAGCTGAAACCGACGCGCTGCCTGGTCCCGACAGCGCCCCGACTGGCGAGGAAGCTCCTCAGACCGACTGGACGAGGCTTTCAACACCCCCTTTTTTTTTTTTTTTTTTTTTTTTGGTGCGTGGTAAATCGACTTCACTTTAGGTTTTTGATAGCAAATGTATTAAAGGATAGTTGTGTGTTCAACTAAGACAACAGTTTATCACAATCATGTCAGTTAATATTGTAATGGCATTCATGTTGAGATCTGCAACAGTAAAGGAGAGCTGTCACACACTCCAAATACTAGTGAAAAAGCACATGGGACGTTAGAGTCCATTTAGGACCACTACGTGTAACTTACAATGCACAGGTTTGTAAGGCATTTAGAGTCTGCACCAGACATCAAAGATCAGAACCACGCTATAAGACATTTGACTTTACCCTTAAAAGGACATGGGTTATGTTAATATTCTAGCAAATCTGATGCATCATATCTAAAGGGATCAAATATTTAGTCAGACATACTGCATTTAAAACATAAAATACAGGGAAAGTGATGTTCCCAGAATGTGCATGTGATCCTGAAGAAAACAGAAGAACTATTAAAATGAATGAGTTCATTATTGCTGATGGAAGCCAGGATTACAGCCTGCCCTCCTGTCATCTTTGGCCACTGCTCATGTCCCAATAAATAAAGGCCCTTACAAGCAGTGGAGCAGCCATGTTTGGGTCAACCTCAGCAATCTAGGAGTTCTTTTAAAAACATATTTTAAACCAATTATACCTTTTAGCCATACAGTTCATGACTCCACATGTTCACACTTTTATCTGATCCTCATCATCTTGTGGTGGACTACAGCCTAATTCGCTCCACTCTTCTTCAGGAAAATCTTTTCCTGTGCTGCCTTCAGAGAAAGAAGCATCGTGCTTTAATCTGGTCCTGGGTCACCTCTTGGTTTACTGAATTTATCACAGTGTGAGGAGGTCACAGTGGCACACGAAGGATCCAAGCAGCCAGCTGATCGCTGAAGACCCTCCACAGAGAACAGGGCCCAGAGTCAGGGAGAAGTGTGGACGCTCAGACTTTACACAAGCCTTTCATGTCTCTGAAGTTATTTGTCCATTTTGCAGTACCACACCTCTCTGTTACCCTTAAAGAGCTCCGGGAAATGCCAGCTCCTTATGGAGAACTCCCTTATCTGCAAAGCCGAAAGCCAGTTGTACCATCTGGACCAGTGGGCTGCCGAATAATGTTATTGTTTGGTCGAGTCTGTTCTGATTGCTGCTGTACATTCAAACGAGCGGGCCTGTAGGGGCAAAAGTTAGTAATATTCTATTACAACAATTAAACTTTAGGAGACTGTCAAAAGCAGTATTATTTTACCTGTCCTGGGAGGAATTGTCCTGAGGAGTTTCCTCTGATGAAGCGCTCCCCAAAATCCTTCTCCGAGCTTCAGCATACTCTGCCTCACGTTGGGCTAATGTCTTTGTCTGCTGGGGACGTGAAAAAGAAGCAGAGCTGCTGGATGTGCCGTTATTTGTAGGACGCTTTAAAATCCTAATTTGTGGTGGGGGTGCTGCAGGGAGAGAGTCATCTTGAATCACAATGGCAGTTCGCATTGGAGAGCTCTTTGAAGTAGCTTTCCTGCAAGAGTGAAAAAATAGAAAATGTCAAGAAATACAGTTGCAGTCAAGTCACGATCAAATGCAACTTCCTCACTTAGCTTCCTGATTTATCTTGAGTTTTGCTTCAAGTCTTCTCTCTATTTCCTATAGACAAAATCATACAAGTATCAAAACATCAGTACGAACACAGAGACAGTGGACCATAACAACTAAGTTATACAAGGCCCAAATACACAGCAGTTTCAACTATAGAACCAGCTTAACATTTGCAAGCAGAAGAGAAGAGTCTACAGACTAGATGATAGTACAAGCTTTAAACTGTGAATCACATCATGTAAAGAGCTTACCCCACTGTCCGCCGCCTCTTCCCAGCTATCCGCAACATCTTCATCGTCCATGTTTAACAGGTTTGGGAGCTGCTAGCCCCTTTAGCAAATGGAAAATTTACCTTCAATGACGTGATGAACAAATGTCAATGACGCTGGACAAAAGTTAGGTGGGTTGTGAATGGTATATTGTAACAGTTAATCGTCAGTTGTACACATTTCCTTCTTTAAGTCGATTTGTTGTGGTGGCTAGCCTGTCAGACAAATCCTCGCTCGAAGCGCTTGAGTTCGTCCTGTTGCTTTAAATCGGACGTCACGTGATCCCCGGTATAAAAGGAATAAAAGTAAAAGGCTGATGGCATCATGAATCTGTTTTTTTTTTTCAGGTTAAATTTATGTACTGTTTGTTTGCCAAAGAATTAAAACAAAAATATGCATTTAAAAGAGGTGATTTAATGAGCAAAATAAACAGCACAAGTACATTCAAAATACAAAAGTGTGCAGACGGATAAATAAACACCACAAGTAAATTCAAAATATAAAAGTGGTCTATTCTCATGATGCCGAAAACATGGACATAGAAAGTTTTCTGGATCCATGTGACCAACGTATTTTATTCTAGTACTTCTATCAATAAAATGTTGCATTCATTAAAACTAACTTTTCATGTCTTGTGTTTAAGGCTGGATTAATGTTTACTTTAAGAAAACAAACTTGGTGTTTACTTTACTGGTAAAATTATGTGCTTTTAATGTGCTACCGGTGGCCCTCGTCCTGCTGGGTGCTGGACCCACCCTGGCCCCGCGGTGGAGCGGAAGGTCGCTGTGGTCGAGAGGCGGGCGGTGGAGGAGCTTCACGGAGCGAAAGATGGCGACAGTTTGGAGGCTGCTGCAGAGCCTCTGGAGCTGATACTGGGCAGAAGAGGAGAGGCTGAACGAATAAAACGACTACGTTACAAGCAAAGGTATTACCAACGGAGTCACACCAATGGAATATTGTTGATGAATTGTGAAACATACTGATGGAGCTTTTAACACAAGAAAAGCTAATTAACAGCTCCTGCCTCCTGCTCAACGTTAGCACAGATTATCAGCAGTGGACAAGGATGCACATCCTTCAGCTCTGTTGCTCAGAGTCAGCAGGTGGAGGGCTTAAAATGGACCTTTTTAATGGCCTCGTTTTCCAAACTGCCTTTGCGTGAATGTGTTGTTAAAGTAAGCTTTCCAGAGAAAATATTATTTGTGGTACAGTGTTAGCCACAGGACCCTTAGTGCTAGCTAGCGTTAGCTGTCGTGCTCGTCGTATCAAACTCGCGTGCATTATAGACTATACAATTTCAAACTATTTAAACATCAGTCAAAAACAGTCACTGACTGTCTACAAACTAGACGTTTTCAAAAATCCTTCTCTTGATGCGCCAACAGTAAGGGCAATATTATTGGCAGATAGCATAGGATGCTAATTCCCAATAGCATTATGTCATTTCATTTCATTACATTACACTGTGATTGGGATGGTACGACACGGAATCAACTCTTCTAGAAAGGGCACCACCCATTTAATACAATGGTCAGAAAATATAATTGTATCACAGCCTGTGGCAATAAACAAATAGTTCATTTCATCATATTTTAAGATGGAGCTTTGCAGTGTCATCGTCCCTATGATGTTGTTAATATTTTATTGTCTATAGTATTGTAACATTAACATTATACAGTTGTTCAACTGAGTTCCTGTAGTTGTGTCAGAGAACTGTAATATCACTAACTGTAATAAAACTACTAATATAAGGGTAATGGAAACATGGTTTGTGTACATGTATGCTAACAGTGTTTACATATTTCCACTGTCCTTGCAGACAATAATGTCCCGTTCTCCTGACAATGAGGATGGATGCTTTGTTGCCATGGATACCGAGGACAGTGGTACTGAGCCTGCTGGGATAACAGAGGAAAATACAGGGTCATACAGGAAAGTGGGGAACATGGACACTTTTGCCAAAGGAGGCGGTAGGACAATGTTGGAGTTACCAGAGGAAGTGCTGGAATATATTTTGTCATTCTTATCACCGTACCAAGAGCAAAAAACTGCGGCACTTGTTTGTAAGCAGTGGTACCGCCTCATTAAAGGTATGCATTTAGTTAGCTGACTAGTTAGTAGTATACAACCTAAAATATCAGTTTGATCTGATGTTTCAGATGTTTCTGATGTTCAATTCCAAGTCTACATCCAGATTTTGCCTCTTTTGTTTTTCACCTTTTCGAATGTAGGTGTTGCTTATCAGTGCTACCATGGTTTTCTGAGGGCAGTTCAGGAGGGAAATATCCAATGGGAAAGTAGGACATACCCATATCCAGGAACTCCAATCACCCAACGCTTTTCACACAGTAAGTATAAAAATACAATATGTATTAAATTAATATATTTGGCAGGTGAATTAATTTTCCGTGAACATATTCTAGCAGAGAAGCAGTTATTGAACTCAGCATTTTTAAATGAATTATCTGAAATCAAACAGTAAGATGGGTGAACACATCTCCAAATTTAAAATCATCACAAATCATCACAAACATGATGGGTCCCACAGGAGAGGTGATGTACAAGGTTTATGAATGCTTAAATTTTTGTTGTTGCAGGTGCTTGCTACTATGACTCAAACCAGTCCATGTACGTGTTTGGGGGCTGCACCCAGAGTAGCTGCAATGCTGCCTTTAATGACTTATGGAGACTTGATCTTAACAGCAAAGAGTGGATCCGTCCTTTAGCTTCAGGTTGTATGTTAGAAATATTAAAGTGCGCTTTTCTGGTGGAGGGTCCATTGAATGTTTTTCTCTATGGTGATGTTATTGCTTTGTCTTAAATGTTTCACAGCATGATATTTAAACGTCTTCATGGAGGCCAAACCAGATTAATTTACAGGTCAGGACAGTTTTATCTTGCTATAAAACCAACTGTAATTGGTTAAATGTAAGGTAGGGTTGTTTTAATGTCATACTGAGGAATTAATTCCAGGCAGAGCAATTGCATGTCCATAGAAACAAGCAGTTGACAGACCCACAACCAAAAAGACAACACAATGCACCTTTAAGACCACTTTGGGAGCCAATGTTATTGCTAAATAATTTAATTTTACAGGGTCATATCCTTCTCCTAAAGCCGGAGCTACTTTAGTAATGCACAAAGACCTGCTGGTCCTGTTTGGTGGATGGACACGACCCAGTCCATATCCACTCCATCAGCCAGAGCGCTTCTTTGATGAAATTCACACCTATTCTCCTTCAAAGAACTGGTGAGGAACCTAACCCACAAAGCACAATTTTCATGTATGCAACTTTATTTATAATCTGTTTCCTTTGTATCAGGTGGAACTGTATAGTAACAACACATGGACCTCCACCTATGGCAGGCCACTCTTCATCTGTAATAGGAAACACAATGGTGGTTTTTGGAGGATCCTTAGGAGCTCGGCAAATGTAAAAAGACCATATTTTACATTTTATTGCACCACACAGATGTTTAAAATAATGATTGTTTGGATTTGGTTTTTGTAGGAGCAATGAAGTTTGGGTTTTGGATCTAGAGCAGTGGTCATGGTCAAAGCCACCCATCTCTGGATCTTCACCACACCCTCGAGGAGGCCAGTCCCAAGTAAATACGCATCTAATGTTCTATTATCATATCATATTATATCATTATATGCATCATTATATATCCTTACTATATTATAAACAAAATTCTAATAGATTTTTTTCATCTCGCTAGATTGTGATTGATGATCAGACATTACTCATTTTGGGAGGCTGTGGTGGTCCAAATGCAGTAAGTCTTGGTATTTGTTGTCTTTTTTAAATTTATTGTGTCTGATTTCTCTTGCAAGTGTAACCATGTGACACCTTTCCTTCAGCTTCTTAAAGATGCCTGGCTCCTCCACATGGGTACACCACCATGGAGGTGGCAACAGCTTCAAGTGGAAAATGAGGACCATGGTGCCCCTGAACTTTGGTGCCATCCAGCTTGTAAAGTACGATCAACTCATATGTTACTGTCAGTGAAGTTACTAAACGAAGTCAGAATGATTTTCCTCTGTTTTCCTAGGTGGGCCAGTGTGTGGTGGTTTTCTCCCAGGCTCCATCAGGTCGTGCACCTCTCAGTCCAAGTCTTAATTCTCGGCCGTCCCCTATAAGTGCCACACCTGCCCCACTGGGCCCCGAGCCTCCCTCGCTGCGCTCGCAGTCTCCTGTACGCAGTGGGGCAGCTGGGGTGGTACTGGGAGCTATAGAAGAAGCTCCCTGTGTGAATGGTCGCTGGGGCACATTGCGACCTCGGCCTTCAGCCAGAGGAAGTGCCAAAGAAGGAAGTCCCTCTTCATCACAACAGGCCTCTCCTTTACAAGCTCCAGACAGTCCTCCACTTGCCCCTCTGTTGAACGGCGCCTCCCCACCTCCACGTAGCAGCCCGGCCCAGGCTTCATCTCCACCCCTTCGCCTTCATCCACCTGCCCCCACAGACTATGGATGGGAGTCTCCCCCTTCTGTCTCCCATCACCCTGAGGTGGCCACTACCAATGGTCTGCACACCCCTCCTTCAGGGTCTCCACGCACTCCTCCGGGCGCTGTGTCTCCCGCTGCTCTCCGGCGAGGCCTGGAGGCTGTCAAAAACAAGTCCTCTGTGCTCTCCTCCTCTGCACCTACTTCATCCTCTGCATCTTCGCTCCAGAATCATGGAGCATCTGCAGGAAGCAGTGGAGTAGCTGGTCCTCCGGGAACTCCTCCTTCCTCCCACAGCCCCCCACAGGCAGCTGCAGCTGATGGACATGCTATCCCACCTATTGCACGGCGGCTTGGACACCACCCGCCTCAAAGCCTAAATGTAGGCAAGCCTCTTTATCAGTCACTTAACTGCAAGCCTATGCAGATGTATGTATTGGATGTATCCAGGGCCAAGTCTGCTGCTGTGGTGTCCTGGCGAGTTTATGGAAACGGTACTCCCGCTGCAGTGACAGGACCTCCTGAGACCAGTTTGCACACTGTTGTACAGGGCAGGGGAGAGCTCATTATCTTTGGAGGTCTAATGGACAAAAAGCAGAACGTGAAGTACTACCCTAAAACTAATGCCTTGTACTTTGTGCGTGCTAAAAGGTAATGCAGCTAAAGTGACAACTGGAAGACTGACATGCCACCTAGTGACAGGATAAGGGAACTGACACCTAAGGCCTTTTTCAAAAGTTAAGGATTACGGAAAAGGACTACAATATTGTTAGGTAATTCTCCATCTGCCTATGATAAACGTACAAAATCAAACTCTCCAGTCACACTTTGATTGACCTTTAGGTGTTAAAGAGAACATTATTGTTTCAAACAATGATCAACCATACTGTAACACTTCCTGTTTTTGTTGTACCCCTTGTCTGGACTTTAAAAAGATGAAACTTGTTGTTGACGTACAACTCCTTTTGCTTTTTTGTATCACTCTTTCAGCCTGCAAAGTTTACATTTACAAGTGTGAGTGTGTGTGAGTGTGCTCGGCGGTGGTTAAAGGTTGACTACTGTGTGTAGGGGGCCATGAGCGGTGGCACTGTACTATATCAACATAGTTAAACAATAAAGGCCTCCATGTCTGTTCTGGCTCCATTCTCAAGTCATTTGGTTGGTATCTGGTTGAAGGTCTATACAGAAGTAATTGTAGGTTACTATTCTATTACTCACAATAATATTAGTTTTAAGTTACTGGGATGAGACTTTGAGATTGACCGTTTCTTAGATTTGATTAGAAAATTGTGGTAATTTCAAAATTCAGTTAATTTTTCCCAAACAATTTCAACATTTTTCTGCTAGATCTTTTCAGTCACATTTACATCATTCAGAAAAAGGCCATACTCTCTCAAGGTCCCTAACCCCATCCTGGATCTGGGTCTTTTTTGCAGCTTCTCCACCCTCCCCACTCTGACCAACAATAACCTTTTACCCAGAGAAATTCTATAGGAGCAGAGCAGGGGCAGCTGAGAAAGAGGCCATTTGATTCGCCTATATCCAGGCATATGTGAGGTGTCAGACAGCACTGCGTTGGTATTGGCTCTGAGCGGGACAGTGGGAGGAGACTTTGACAATGAATTTGCTGAGAACACATGTTTACAATGAGGAAAGGGAAGAGAAATGGATCTGAACTGGATCACAAAACAAAGTAAGTTCAAATATATACAATATGTCATAATATAGTATTGACGCATGTTGCAGATTGTAAAGTCTGTGCCTCAGGTCTAAAGCAGGCTGTGGTTTATGCATTTTTGTAAAATTGCATAGAACTGGTAGGAGTTGCATCTTGTATGAAACTTTGACCCATACTGGATATTATACTGTAGTGTGCGAAAATACATTCTCAACACACATTTTAATGTAGCGTAGCTCAATTTAACTGCCCTTTTTCTAGCAAGTTATGTTATGTAATTTTATACCTGATCTCCACCCATGTAATTGTTACACTTTTTGAAACACATGCTCCTTTTTTTCTTTGTGGAAAAAAAACAAACAAATAAACTGGGGACTCATAATTCTTTTGCTTTTATAGGTGTGTAGTCACTGATGACTTTTGTGACTGACTTGGGGAACAGGACTGATACAAAATGGATTTTGTATGACGGCACAGCACTCCATGGTCCAAAGTTTGAAAGTCTGGAGATATCTAAGGGATGACCAGTGCTCAGCTTTTCAGCCATTCATCTAAAGAGCCTCCTTGCAGGATGGTGTCCGCCGTAACCCCTGTTCACCATGGCGTGTTTGGTCCATCACAGCCCCCTCCAGCCGTCTGGCCTCCTCTGGACTTTGCACTAGGTGCACTGGCCTGCTGCACTGCCTGTGTATTCACAAACCCTCTTGAGGTGGTCAAGACTCGACTTCAGCTTCAAGGAGAACTCTGTGCCCGGGGGTCCTATCAAAGACACTACAGAGGGGTGCTGCAGGCACTGTGGGTGGTGGGGCGGACGGATGGGGTGAAGGGGCTGCAGAAGGGCTTGTCTGTGGGATTGATTTACCAAGGAGTAATGAATGGAATGAGGCTGGGATCATATTCATACTGTGAAGCTTTGGGAATCACCTCTTTTTATGGAGGTAGCCTTGTGTCAGGAGCTGCCTGTGGAGCTCTGGGTGCCTTTATTGCATCTCCGGCATATCTAGTGAGTCCATGCAAGACAAATGTCCAGTATTTGTACTATTAACCTTTTGGTTAAGAATACCAAATAATTTTTTTTTTTTAATTCAAATGTTAAATCAAACTAATGCTGCTTTGAATGGACACAATTAGCCAATTAATAAGGCTGCAAGTTTTTCTTAAACAACTAAGTATTCAGTGTTATTCTGCATCAAAACCTCTAACCCTGTAGTTAAGATTTGTAAAATATTTCAAATATGTTGATGTTGAACAGAATCCTATTATTAGAACATACACTGAAGATCTAATTGTAATAATACTTGTCATAAAATAGCAAATCCTTTAGCCCTACGTCAAGCACTCTTCATTATAATTACTAGTTATTTAGAGTTACCTTGCGGGCAGAAAATACTAGCGTGTCAAGTAAGCATGCTTTAAATTCCTCATAAAGAAAGGGCAAACAATACTTGAAATTGTGAAAAATGTAGTCCTTGTTGTTCCAAAAGGTGGATAAACATTTCTATAATATTTGCAAGAAAATCTCCAGTTACTCTGCTGGTTTATTATAAATATATATCTGATTGCATACTTGCATGCCATTCATATGTTATTTTGAAAAACCAGCATTTGATCTTGGCGTTATAGGCATTAATGAGCATAAACATATTGTAAGGACACAGGGTCAAAACAGTGTCAAATGTCTAAGTCTATTTTTTTCTGGATTGAGGTCATGAGGGGAAATATAATAGGAGTTAGGCTTGTCAACAATGGTCTCAATGTCAAATACAAAATCATATATTTTATTTAGATTTTTAATGTTGTTGTTGTTATTATTTCTTATTCATAAACACCCCAAATATAGCTCCACAGTGTTTTCCTTCTTAGTTAACGCCTTTAGTATTCTCATGATTGTGTGTTGGTTTATAATCAAACCACTAAATATAGCTTGTCCCTTTACTGCGTTTTTCTTGGACATGTCCATTACAGGTGGTGTCTTATGTCTTCTAACAGTGTCTTGTGTTAGCTACTTTCATTATTGAATATTTGTTAGGTGCATTGATGTATATTAGTCCCATTCCTACTCACTAGAACTGCAACTGCTATTTACTGGTCAGCTATATTTTTTTTATTAGTGGACTAGTCAAACAATTATTTATTTTTATTCTACATTTAGATTTTTAAAATACATTTTTAACCAAAGTTTGAAATGTGATGACTGAAGGTTTCTGGAAAAAACAGAATTATGAAATTTTTTAATTAGAGAAATCTTGTTTATATTTTTTTACATATTAATTTAAAGATGTTGCTGTCTTTGTTGTAAAACATCTTGGTGTTTTAAAGTCAAAATATGATATTTTGTTAGTCACTGTTATCCTGAATGGTGGAATCCTAGTTTTAGTTTAGCTATTGACAGTTAAACATAAATCTTTTTTATCTCCTTCCACAGGTTAAGACACATCTGCAGGCTCAGAGTGTGCAAGCAATAGCCGTTGGACACCAGCACAACCATTTAGTAAGAAATCCCTAAGAATTTCAGTATTATACAACTGGATATTCAAATGAGAAATGATCTAAGCCACAAGACTGTTTGCAATTTTTGTCCCTCCCTAGGGTGTGTCAGATGCCTTTGTAACTATCTATCGAAGAGAAGGCCTGATTGGTCTTTGGAGAGGCGTTAACGGGGCAGTGCCTCGAGTGATGGTTGGATCAGCTGCTCAACTTGCCACCTTCACCTCTGCCAAGGAATGGGTGTCACAGAGCCAGGTAGGAAACTATTCATGAGCTCAAGAACATGTCAGTGACAAAGTGTCCGGTTTGCAAAACACAGCAGACTTCATGAGTCAATAAGGACAGACTCAAGATTGGATAAGAGGAGTGAATTGTATCAGGTGGGGCACCACCAGATGGCATTGATGGTGTTTTAGTGACTATAGGTTTAGTTTCTCAATGTACACTCCCTCTTACAGGTTGTTTATAATATAGTGTAGAATTGTTATTAAGTTTGTACCCTCTGATAAATTCCACTAACATGTGTCATTTTATCAGTAAATAAAAGGGCCTTGTTTTATGTTTATATTTTTACACTGTTCCTTGCCTCAAGGAGTGCACTGCTCATTTTAAAATGATTTTTGCCTTATTTTCCATTACTCTGGGGAGGCTCATTAAGTGTTCTTCTTGACCTTTTTGTTTCAGATGGTTAATTTTGCATGAGTAGCAATGGTGAATTTAGTTATTAAAATTGAAAAGCTTTATTAACAAATATTTCTCTAATTCCTCCCTCTTAGTGGTTTACTTCAAGCAAATTTCTGACTGCTCTGATTGCTGCTATGATCAGTGGAGTTGCCGTGACAATCTCTATGACTCCATTTGATGTCATCAGCACAAGACTCTACAATCAGCCTGTGGACGAGTTTCGAAGGGTGAGGAATTTTTGTTACAAAATTATAGAATACATATAGTATTCAGTATCTTGATTGTTTTCACACAAAGAAAAATGAAATGAAACAAGATTTATAACTTCACATTTTTATACAGTGTTATGAAAAAATCTGTTTTTATTTGCCAGGGTCGTCTGTACAACGGATTTTCAGACTGTATGCTCAAAGTGTATCAAACAGAGGGTGTCCTGGGGCTGTACAAAGGGATGGGACCAGTCTTTCTGCGTTTAGCCCCCCACACAGTGCTCAGTATGGTGTTCTGGGACATGATGAGACAACAGGTTGTGAAGAACCAACATGGAGGGAGCTAAAATGAAGTCTGCATATGTCAAATAGGATTTAGACATTTCACAGTGGTTTGTGTTCATGCAATGCCCTAACATTGTGTAGGGTAAGGATTTAGATAGGGGGCAGCTAAAATATTCTATAGAATTTGCTATTTATGTGTGAACATGTACAGTAGGTGTTTCATCTGGTTAATGGTTTAAGATCTATTATCTTCCTCCAGCTTTTCGGGGTCCCCCCAGGGGGAGAAAAGAAAAGAAAGTGGAATGCAATTCACTGACATATAAAAAACACTCTTAACTTTTGGTCTCAATGTAACACATCTAATATGTATTTATGTGTTTATTGTAGTGATACTAATTATATTCAGGGACACAGATTATCTATTTTTAAAAGTAGATTTTCAAAGCTGCTGTAAATGCCTTATATATTAAGGGATATATGTTTGTTGATATTTTAACTCTGGGAACCAAGACAACAATAAATTGTTTTTTATATATTGGATGTATTATCTTTCTATAAAAACAGCCTTTTTATTTAAAAGTTATTGAGGGGCCATATTCATTTTAACTGTTCTCTCTCATTATATTGTGATTAATCTGAAAGTTAATCAGTTTTGAATGTGACAGAATGACATCACATTTGAATCCATTTTGACCTTAGGATTTTGACCTTTGGTCCCTATGCAACAGAAGACAGAACAGAAAGAGACATGTCCACAGTATGTCACACAACTAAAGGCTGGGCTCAGTAATGTTAATGTTAGGTAGTTTCTAACCTGGTGAAATTTTGAACGATAAGTAGGAAATAATTTTGTGCTCCTCTTACAAGGAAATATGTTTTTCATTTTCAAATGGATATTTGGGCCGATGTTAGAGTTAAATCCTATTGACTGCTTACTACAAGGTATGTTTAGTCAGTGTGTTTGTCATTCTAAACTTGGGTCAGGAACCTTTGCAATACCTATACATTATCCAGACCCCTTAACATTGTTTTTATTATGTTAAAACGTATGTCTGGTAAACTGGTAAAAGGTAATTCAATCTTATTTTTGGTGTATAAAAACATTCTTCTTGTCATGAATGCTGAAATGTCAAAGTCTCTTTTATGCAAATCAGTTAAAGTCACAGTAAGTAACCTGTTAGCCAAATAGACTAAAACATTTTTAAATGTGGTTATGTTGATTGCACTGAAAAAAAAGTAAGAAGTAAGGTTTGTGCCAGATGCACAAACCTTACTCTTTAAGTGTTGTTCCTTACAAACCTTACAAACCTTGCTCTCTAAGTGTTGTTAGTTTAGCTATAATCTTCCACAGTATGACATAAAAACTTATCTGTCTCCACGGGGAATAGACCACGAAGTGTGATCTTAACTTTCTTTTTCCATGGAATCATGAAATGCTCAAGTGACTTTTATGTAAAAATTGTTTTGTAAAAATGGAATAGTTAATAAAAGCCCCAGTATGTAACCTTTTAGCCAAAAAACAGAACGTTACTATAGTCTGTTTAGCATGGTATGGGCTCGTTTAAAGTGGTTGTGGACAAGTTTCTAACATAATAAGTATGAAGTGACAAATAGTGAGGTTAAAAAAATATATCAGACTTATGAGTTAGGCAGCCTAACTTTGTTGTGTGTGTCCAAAGGACATCAATTTCTACTCCTTCTACTGTTTTTTAAAAAATGTATTTTTCCATCATTAACATTTGTGTTTTGAAGGGATTGTTGGCGCATGTGGAGTATCTGTACTATGCAATTTAATAAGAGTTCATCATTTTAGGCAGATGTGCAGGTAAGTGACCATCCTGCACAATAAAAATGATAATAGTGTGTGTGTGTGTGTGTGTGTGTGTGTGTGTGTGTTTGTTTTTTGTTTTTTGTTTTCTAAACCATAATGGTTTTCCAACAGTGAAAATGATTCTGAAAACAGTAAATTTAAGTCATTACTTGCCAG